TCCCTTTCTCACTTTTATACTATCGATTAATATGAATAAAAATACAGAATATTTTTTTGGTTCGAAGACCAAAGTCAAAACTAGGCAATCTATATGAAAATAATATTTTTGATCCATTTTGAACATAAAATGGAGACCCTAAAACAAGTTTTCTTAAAGAAATGTACTTTGATATGCCTTTAAAGCCTTATAAGTAGTCTTTATAGAACTTTAAACATTTCCTTACCAATGTGGACCCTAAAATTCATAAGAATGTGTATAGTATTTTTTTTCAAGTACAGATTTTTGAACATTTTTTTTAAACTGGATGCATCTCATGTGGCCGATCGACTGACGACGGAAATGAGACGCAATGAAATGGATGCCAAGAGATTGGACTGTGGTTACGCCGCTGGCAGTGTCGATAAGGCGGTAATAGTAAACAGACACCCATCGAGGACGACGACGACGACGTCGATGAGGATGAGGATGATTGTCAGTCAACGGAACGCCCTTTGAATGTGAGATGGAAATGGAAATCGAATCGGGCGTCGAGCGGAAGTTGGCAACATTGGAGCCCCGCCTCCAGTTGAAACTTTGAGGACGCCCTGGGGCTTCTCCAGCGCCATTTCCCCCATTCCATTCCTTTAAAGCCATTCGCAGCACGCGCTGGCTAACACACACACACACCCACACACGCACGGCACACAATCGCATTATGCCGCACACCATCGCAGTGCTGATTGCACAATTACCAACAATGGCACTCTTGTTCTGCGCCTGCGAGTGTGTGTGTGTGGGTCTCTAATATTTTGTTTGTTAATTGTGTGGGCGTGCCTGGCGCCACGCCCACCGCCCACCGCCCAGCCTCTTTTTTGTTCCTGTCTGCGGAGCAACAATTCTGCACCCAACTCCCATAAATGTATAATATGCTGTGTGCGAGTTACGTAAGCCGAGTGGAAAATTCCAAGAAGGTCGAGTGTATCTGCAGGGAAGTCAGGACAATCCTTTATAATCGCATTTAACCCATAAGTTGCAGTTCCGCTGAACAGGTGTTAGATGTTAGATATTTATTTGTAACGCTGTAATATAAATAAATTCTGTTTTCCCCGAGCATCCTTCGAAGTCCAGTAAGCTGCTTGTTGTTAAATGCTCGTGCGTATACTTAATTTTTTCTGGGTAAGAGGAGTCGCATAAAAGTATGCTACACAAGTCGAAAATTGATCTAATTTAAAGGGAAATGTCTTTATCTGCGCCACAAAAGCTACACCTGCCAGCTGGGCTGCTGCACAGAACTAATTAAATGCTCAGCCGTAATTTATGTGTGCCCCAGACAAATGGGGACACAGCCAGTGAGGGGCCATAAATTTAAATTATGCCCGGCTAAAAGTGAATACGTAATAAATAAGCCCGAGTGCGTGCAAAAATGGTTGCCTACAAAAATTCAACGAATAGCTTGAGGGGCTCTCAAGTTCCTCTACGTTTGCTTTTTTCTCTATTTTTTCTTGGCCTGACCAGGATGTCCTTGTAATGAAATTCCCAGGACTCCGTCTCGGAATTTGAATTTGACTCGTACGATATATACTGTATACACCTAATCTGTCGTACCCAGATCATGTGGCTGATTGGCTGGAAGGGAGTGAGCGAGGGATGTCCGCCAGACATGCAGTAATTGGCTCAAGTCTTATACAACTAGGGACTCATGTGGTGTCATTTTAATGATTTCCTTTTCAATCGGGATGTGTGTGTCTGTGCTCCACACAATGGCTTATGAAAGATTGATTATGCCTAACCCACTAGTTTTCTAAATTTAATGGTAAAGCCAGAATTGTTGCCCAACTGAACTCGTTGCGCAAGGCTAGAAATTCCATAGAAATTCAAGAGAAACTCGCTTCAGGGGAATGCCAGCCACAGGTCCAGAAAATGACTACCCCAATTGACTCGGCTAATCTTCTGGGAAAAACTCCCGAGCAAGACAGAGAAATTTCGCAAGTCTTGCGGGCCCGTATTTAACTGTCTGCTGATTAACTCCGAATGCCATTGCCATTTCCATACGCAAAATGTAATTTTGTGCGTCAACTTTGAGCAAATATTTTGTAGGGACCACCAGGCGTATACTTAATAATGTTTACCAAAGCAATCAGGGGAGTCGCACACGGAGAACAAAGTGCTCCGCCTGGGCGGGATTGGAATTCCAACCTTTTTTTTTTTTGTGACAGGGCCAAGATTTCTGTGATTTGTGATTGGAATTTGAGCGGGCTGACACTTGGCAAATGCGCCAACAATTTGGGTAATAACCTTAAATTCAAATGCTGTTAGCCGGGTGGGTCTACCCGTAATCTCGTCGCTGGCCTTCAAGTTAATACAATTTAAAAGCCCCGTAGACCAGCCTTCGATTTCCCCACTCCAGATTTCGAGTGGTTCTTTTTTTGCGTTGCGAATTCGTTGAAAAAACGATGGGGATGGGAATCGGGGACGACACAAAAGCAAACAATTTATGGTTCATATGAGTTGGGAATTGGTGTTCAGCATACAAATGCCGAGCAAATAGAATTTGTGTGTTTATCCTGTCCCTGCCACTCCCACAAAACTTGTGGGCCCTAATAGGAATACTCTATGCATATCCATGTGCGGCTGCATATTTGCTCGCTTAAATCGGTTAAAGTGGTGAAAGGTCAAATATTTGATTGCCGGCAAGGCTGCGTTCGAATAATTGCCATAAACGTTTATTAACTTCGCAAAAAACTAGTTGTGGCTATCGGGTATTAACTTCCAAATCGAATTTTTGTTTGTATACAACCAAAACGATGTTAAATTATTGTTTTTAACACGTTTTTTCCAACATGGTCAATGAACATTGGTCTTTCATCAACCCATTAATTAATTATACCACTTTATTCGTAATTAATTAAATTCCTGCGTTTCTTGCCATTTTGATGATGATTAAATAAAAAATGCATGCAATCGCAGCAGTGGCGTAGCCAGGATTTGAATGGGTAGAGGGACTTAAAAAAAATATATATATTTATATCATACTTTTTACTTAATATTTTGCATTAAATAACATACATTTGGTAGTTTATTAAATGAAATCATAAATTCAGTCATCACTTTAAAACTAACACAACTTTGAAGCAGATGAAATTATCATAATTAGAAAGCTATGGACTTTGTAAATCCAATTAGAAACTACAAGAATATCACTCATATGCTTTCGATAAGAAAGTTTTCTTGCTTAAAAGCCACTTAGGCTTCTCTGGCTAACTTGGCAGTTGATTAAATTTAAATTATTTTTGTTGTAGCAAATGAAGTTATCTTAAATGTTGGTACTAAAACAAAATTCAACAAAATAATATATACACACAATAAAATTGTCTTGTACAAAATGATCAATGCAGATGGTTATATAACTATAAAATGTAGTACTTTACTGTTTAAAATGGTTGAAAATGTATTTGTTTTTGCTTAGTTTACTATTAATAGTTATTTCCATACTAGCTGGAAGGCGAGGATAAGCCACACTATGAATTCAAATAATAATTTTATCAATTTATATACATATATTATATAATTACTGTCTAAAAAATTCACTAACTATATTTTGTGGGTTGGTTAACTATGAAAATAGGTACAGTTTTCGATTTTACTATTATATTGGTCAATTTTACCAAAGAAGTGTTGTGGTGAATAAATTACCCACATTTATTTTAGTTTAGAAAGGAAAGTTAAGGGAAATTATGGTTAGACTTTAATCATAGCATGCATCGGCATATTTAGAGTCCATTATGAAAGTTTGCATATGTTAATAGCCACTTGGGTGGCTCTGCTGGTGAACTGCAAACTGCCTTGATTGAACTTAATTGGGTTCGAAGTACGAACTCCCCCTTGTTGACGCACAAGTACATCTGCATCGACGCCTACGAGTCCTCACCTGTCGGGGTTGATTGCATGGTGACTGGTGTCAATACCCGTCCTTGACACATTGCGAACTCCGATGCCTGAACTCTGCCCACGTGGGCGTGGCCTGGTCAGTGGGCGTGGTGGGTGTGTTTTGTTTCGCTCAGCGATACGTAGATTCTACGCTGCGTTAATTCACCTGTTGACCACCGCCCCGCTCTCTCTCGAGAACTGATTTAAGTAGGTCATAGTTGCACATTGTCGAATTGGGCCCCATATGTTCGAAAGTCACATTACCTGTAGCTCCTGGCTCACATTTACGGGCACTAGTCGTTCGGAACTCGTGGAGGGCACATCGCTCTTAAAAACGTTGTGTTTGATGTTTGGTCTGTCTCGTACTTAGGGTATTATTTATAAGAAGGTAATGAGCGAGGCAAAAACCTTTTAGCAATACCGTCAGAATGTACTGTAGTATCTATTATACTTTGACTATTTTAAGGAACGGTTGGTTTGGAAACAGAATCTATAAAGTTTAGGAGTGAATTTGGTCTGATCTTATAAACATTTGTTTCAAAACATACTTTTTGGTTGTTATACCCATTACTCGTAGAGTAAAAGGGTATACTAGATTCGTCGGAAAGTATGTAACAGGCAGAAGGAAGCGTTTCGGACCCCATAAAGTATATATATTCTTGATCAGGATCACTAGCCGAGTTGATCTAGCCATGTCCGTCTGTCCGTATGAACGCTGAGATCTCGGAAACTATAAGAGCTACAATACTGGGATTAGGAATGCAGATTCCTGAGATTCCTTCGCAGCGCAAGTTTGTTTCAGAAATGTGCCACGCCACGAACTCAATATACCCTCTAAAAGTAATGATTTAAATGAACAAGTAGTGATTTAGATAGAAAGATGAATTGCTCATGCTGGGAGTGCGCACAAAAACTAATGGGGTTCTTTTAGTGCCAGACTCCAAAACAACCGAACTCGTAGTGAAGAACGCTCATAATATCTTTATAAATATAAATACACCAAATAATTATAAAAACCCCTTTATTTAAAGTAAAAAGGTTTTTGTAGAAAAATTACTTCATATCTGATCATATGATCTGTTCAATCCGGATTTCATTAAACTAAATGAGCAACATTTTGCCCTCTTTATTCCTTATCAATGGTAGCAATGATCCAATCCCTAAATTTCATAATATTTGTAAATACAAGAATGCCTTCAGATGAATAGCTGACAATTCCCAACAAATAGTAACGTTCTCTATCATATGTATTCATGGGTACTACCAGAATGTCTCCACGCTTCTGGTAGGACTGACCTATCTCGGGAGGAACTTCCACACAAAGTTGAGTTTCATCGATGACAGATCCGATATAATCTGAACACATTCGGGTGGTCAAGGGCTTAACGCTATATCTATTACTTGTCGCTTGGTCAAAAAGAAATGGTAATCCTTCGAATCTGTGAGGGAGCTCTATTTTTGCTAGACAAATCGGTCTGATGCCATCTGGAAAAGAAAACTCTGTAGGCAAGACGGTAGACTCAAAAAATAATTATACCTTTGATATGCACCGCTCCAATCAGTTTTAGTAGTGCTATATCATTCTTGAAATCATCCGTATTTTTTGGGTGCTTTAAAACCGAGTCAACTCTGAATACCGCAAAGTCTTTTTCCATCATTACCGACACATCTCTGGGGATAATTCAAAAATTTATTAAGTTATTCACAAAGACAACTTGAAGATAACTTACAAACAGGCGGCATTTTCTGGCAAATCCGTGGCAATGGTGACGACGAATCCTGAAAATGCAGTTATTTTATTTTAGAAAACTGAGATAGTGAATTGGAAGTTTATTAATGTCCTTTAAAGTTTGATTAATTTCGAAAGTGCCAAATTATAATTTATATCAACGAAATTGATACCCACGCTCTGTAATAAGCACGCCCACGCTCTCAAAACCAGGTCCATAAATGGTAGGCCGCAAGATCGATGGCATGTGATCTTCACTGCAGCCACTATCCAATACCGGTAACGCAAAATTTGGTAGAGCCGGTTTCGGATAAACCGCTGGATGAACTGTCGGAGGAATCCCCTGAACCTTCGGAGGAAACACATGAACCGTTGGGACTCCTGGAAAAATCGGCCGCATTTGATGAACCACCGGAGGACCCACCGGATAACCCACCTGATGACCACCTGATGAATAAGCCCCCGGATAGCCCACCCACGGATAAGCCTCCGGATAAGCCGTCGGAGGACGCAACGGATAAACGGTCGGAGAGCCCATCGGTTGAAACCCTGGATAAAAGCCTGTGGGTTTTTGGGGGATTATTTGGGCGTATGGGGTATCATATTTTGAAATGGTTGTCTGAATCCAATCGACAAAGCTTGTCACATCGGTATACACTCCCAATCCATCGCATGTTTGTTTTCCGTAGCTTACGATCCCGAACTGTGTTTCAAGACCAGTCTTTTGGTCGATGGTTATACTAGTTGTCAATGGACCTCCAGAATCGCCCAGACAGGTGTCGCCATATGGGCTTCCTGCGCAAATTTGACTCGAACTATGATATACTTTAAATTCGTTGTTGCACTCTTGGCGGTTTTTCTGGTACAGAATGGTGGTTTGAAGTATTTCGCTTTCAATGCCGTTCTTATGGCCCCAGCCAAAGACATTAAACGTTTTTGTTTTCTCTACTTGATACTTAATGCGCGTATCCAAAAAAATACAAATTGGTCGAATATGGGCTGCGGGGAAGTGAATTAAAAACGCTATCGGATGGATATTTAGTTTACATACCATTGTACTCGACTCTGTTTGACAGTTTAAGCAGGCCTATGTCATTCACAATACCATTGAATCCAGGGTGAATAATGTATTGACTGACTTGGTGTCTGACGAGGGGGGAGTGCTTTTTGTATGCCCCCAAATTTACGAATCTGTAATTTAAATAATACATTTCTATATAAAATGATTTTTAGGATGCTTAGGAATGTTTAAAATAAATCCAGTCTGATGAAGATCAGATGAACAGATATGTACATTTTTATATTAATATAATGCTAGATTTTATAATAATAATAATAATGAACAATAAATTGTATATTTAGATAAAGGAGTTTCGCAATGATCTTAGGGTTTCATTAAAATGTACTAATACGTAAAATAAGCCAGCTAAAATTCGCTAAAAAAGTGTTTCCCCATTGATTTCTTTGGTAGACTATAGATTTTTATGAAGGGCAAATGTATACATGAGTAACAGACTTTGAAGCAAATGCAACTATTTTATGAAATGTCTTTTGGTGTAAAGTCTCTATCTTAAGGTTACTACTTACAGCTTGTATCTGTTATCCAAGCAATGTGCTGCAGTCAAAATCCAGCCTGCATTAAAATATTAATTATTATGTATAAATACATATATATGAACATTATCTCTCTAGCGGAGCTATATATAAAAATACGAACTTCTATGAATCAACGTTCCGCCACACAAAAAATGCGTGGCATTTGTTATGGCTGCCATCCAGCTGGCATCATTTTCGTTCGCGTTTGTGCCACCGTTAATTCTGGGTCGAATTGAAGTTCCACAGGGTTGCTCCAAAAAATGGGAAGAAGCCTTTTGGCTAAGGAAAAAAGTAAACAAAAGAACCCAACAGACTTCAGACTTCATCTCACGCTAGGCAAAATCAAACTGAAACAAAATTGGACTGCATACCGACGTCTTATCAGAGAGAAGAAGAAAAAAAGATCAAAAGATCAAACAAATATATTTTTATTACAGTGAATTGTTTTTGTTTTCCGTTCATATTCACAACATTTTTTTATAATAAATGAATCAGCTATGATTCATTGATTCTCGGGTCCCTAACTCGCATACAATGAAATAAGTCGCCGAATAAACCAGAAATACGTTTGTTGAGGCGTGTATATAAGATGATCTAGAGGTTATCAATATTTTTTATTATTATAGCGTTGTAAATCTACATATTCTGATACGTTAAGTGCCTCAAGAGGAATCCCTAGATTCAACCTATAATTCTAATTAACTAACTTCGTTAACCCGCGCCCGATGGGCTCTGAAACCAACTCACTTCCAATTTTGTCATCTCCGGTGCAGAGTGGCTAAATTTGCTTTGAAACGGCTTTTGGCCACACAATATGAACATCAGGATGGGGACAGTGGGGCTCGGGGTCTATTGTGCTGCGAGCCGACTAATGGCATCCATTAGACACAAAAGGCCAAATTGCTTGGCCCGATTCCGATGGCATCAATATATATATATAGCACACAGACACAAAATGCATTTACTGGGACTTTTTGTGCGATCTATTGTCACGTGAGCGGGCAAACGTGTGTGAGTGAGTGAGTTGCCATTGTGTAATTGATTTCGGTTCCTAAAGCCAAAAGTTCCCGCAGCTATTTGCATGACCGGCATTTATCTGGCCTGTGTGGGTATTCAGGATTCAGGATTCCGTACTTTGTATTTAGTATTCCGTATAGAGCAGTTCTCTTTTAGTATGCACGGCATGTACAACGCAAGCCTAAAACAAAAAGAAAAGGCCGGCGATTTTCGCATGCGGATCACATATGTATGGCCAGCCCGATTAATCCAATCCGATTGCCCACTGAACTTGCAGATTGTTTCCGCCAAATCACGACGATTAAGTCATGAACGCACTCGATATGAATAAACAATTTCTGAGCGTCTCCCAGGACCATCAGCATCAGACGACCTCGGTGGCAGACCGGCGGAGTCGCTCCAGGTGAGATTGTATACCAACCTTATTGGATACCAGATGATAATGGGATCTATCATTGCAGATCGGAGCGTGCCTCGAGCCTGGCCCTGCCGCTCAACTCCCTGCTGGACTTCTACGACAAGCAGCAGGAGCAGTGCAAGTCGGTCACCCTGCTGCCACTGCCCAGCAACTGCAGCAACATCGGCGACAGCAGCAACACCGGGGACAGCAGCAACATCTCCACCAGCAACAGCATCGTGCGGCGACACTCCTCCCACTACTATCCCATGCTCGAGGACAAGCAGAAGCCGTCGCAGCTGTCCCAGGCAGCCACCGAAATGCTTGTAAGTAGCGATTGGTAGATACATATGTACAGTATACACAGAGAGAATTCTGACGTTATCATCTGAGTTAAAAATGTTCTTAAAAATAGAACGACATTTTTAAAGTCGAAAATGTTCCCAATTTACATTCTTTATCTCAACAACTAAATTATTAGTCCAGTCAGTGGTGTATTCTCTTCAGAAAAAGCCAAAAATGCACCTTATTACTCTACAATTCTTGTGTAGAACACGGATGTAATCTATTGTATTTCACTGGCTTGCTTAGTTATCCACGATATTTGTTCATGAAACTAGGATATGTTACAAAAATAGTTAGGAAAGGAAGTTTGTAATATTTTTAGTGAAAGGTCCGTGCGACGACACTACTCTTGCAACATAAGGTTCAACATATTTTTTTTATACCCTTGCATAGAGTATAATGATTTTAGTTAGATGTTTGCCAAAGCTATCGGAATGAAACCTTCCCAAAATTCTTATTTTTATTGGGGGTAGTCGGACCACTGTAGCTTCCTTAGAAATTATCAAGAAAATATTTAAAAAAAAATGTAAATATATAAGTTTTGGTGTTTTTTGACATATTAACTTCTACTCTTCGGAATTTCGTTCTTTTAATGTTTCTAAGTTTCGAATAAAATCACAAAAAAATCGAACGATTTTATCATATAGCTGACATGGGAACGATATTATAAAACATATATAAACCATGTTCCGATGGGAACGACCTGGCAGGGTATAGAAACTTCGGCTTGCCAAAGCTAGCTTCCATTCTTGTTAATTTTCAAACTCCTAGTCTCTTCAGTCTTCGTTCAACTGAAATTTAATGAAGTTTACCTTTTAACACGAAAATGACCATAACGACCATCACAAGCTTCCTCATATAACATTACACGAGAATTGTTCTTCATGAACATTATGGGAAACCAAAATAGGTAAAAGTCAGAAGTTTAATGAGTGTTCCTGGAAAGTTATATTTACTTCCAACGCAATTTAAGCTCCCAGCTATTGCAATTAGCCAGTATTCTCCCATTATTATAAGCCTTTACTTTTAATAGTACGAGAGAAATGCAGTATAATAAAATGTGGTAAGCTTTTAGCATTTTCTGAACAAATTGTTTTATTTTGGTGCAATGCACGTTTACCTTTCAACAATAGCATTTAGTGGCCAACAATTTTTTTATAGTTTTAAAGAGGTAGCAACTACTGAGAATTTAATGGTATAAATATTATTACGTGCTCCTCATTGTTTGCATTATTTGGCTGACGTTGCAGAGAGGAGAGTTTCTAGTGAAGATTAGCGTCCGCGGGATTTCCGTAAAGTTTTTCTGACTTTGCATGACTCAAAAGATCGATGATGACGGCAGCCAAAACCACTCCGCCTGTTCCGGATACATTATGAAGCAGGGCCCCCAAATCCGCACAAAGTTATTTGCGATTTTACTTTCCGGGGCCGCGTCGGGATTTCTGCACTCGGCTTAGCGAGGGCTTAGTCCCTGTCCTCCACCATCATCCTCTGCACCTGGCAGGGGCTTAAATTGCAGAATATTGCCACTGGATAATATTGCCACAGTAGAAGAACCTAGGAGTAAACATTACCGTGGGAAAGCATTCCAAAATACAAAAAATTGTGAATTTTCCCATTGAGAAAATGTAATATTTCTCTAATTAGGTTTAAAAACGAACTTTAAAGCTAATGGTTTTACATATTTCAATATAAATTTTAATATATTTAAAGCTCTGAAAACAATCTCTGCTTAAATGCATAGGTTTTTAATAAACATCATATAAATGGCGAATAAATTTACTGAGCATGAACCGAAAGCACAAATGATATTTTCAAGTTTTTTCCGGGTAGTTGTGCAGATTTTATTAAAAATGTTCTCAATTCCAGAGAAATTACTGATTTTATTGATACAAAATGTGCAGTTTAATTATGAGGAAGTTCATTTTTCATGTTTGCTCTTATGCAATTCCCCCGAATGATTCCCACTGTATTTGCCCAGCCATGTCTCACAGTCCTTTTCCCTCGAATTTTCTCATTTTCCCGCCGGCAGGTAAACATGACGGAGCAGAAATATGGCCAGTCAGCGCACCAGGGGGCGGCCATGGCCACCGCAGGAGGCAGGCAGTTCCACCAGCAGATCCAGCAGCACCAACAGCGGGTGGACACCCCGGTGACGCCCCCACCGCCCATTCCGCGTCGCCTTCTGCGCGGCAAGTCCGCCTGGCAGGCGTCCACGCCCCACCCACTTCCACTTCCTCCTTCGGCTGGCGGACAGGAAGGCGCCCATGGCACGGGCACGGGCACAGTGTTTGTTTATCCGCAGCCAACGAACGTGACCACAGAGGCAGTGGGTCGGGGATCGGGCGATGGAGGAGGAGGAGCTGGGCTGCAATCAGCGCTGCTTGTTGACATAGCCACACGTCCTGTGCCCGGATATGCGGATGCCGATGGGATTTCCGATGACGACCGCATGAGTCTGGAGAACTCCGTGTTTGACGAGTCGCTAACCTCCACGCCCGTCAAGGTCGCCGGCTATCTGGCCGGACGCTACTCCGGCCTGAGCCACATGGCCAAGCGGGCTCAGCGCTCCTCCAGCAGCACCGTGGACTCGGCCTACGGCTCATCGCTGGGCGGGCACAGCGAGCGTTTTGCCAGCAGCTCCACCAGCGTGGACTTTCGCAGTCGCTTCTCCTCGGTGGACACGCAGTCCTCCCTCGACGAGAAGCCCCTGTCCAGCTCGATTGACTCACCTTTGGCCAGGGACTCCAGGGATGCGTACCGAGATGCCATGCACAAGCTGAACAACAATAATACCAGCCTGGGATTGCCCCTTTATCCGGCCAGTAATAATAACAACGGCAGCATTATCAGCAGCGGAGGAGGATTAGGAGTTGGGGGAGCTGATGGCTCCAAGTTACCAGTGGTTCCTGCTCGCAAGCAGCCACCTCCTCTAAAGGGCAGCGGGAACAGCAACAACTCGGTGGGCGAGACCCAATCCCAGAGCTCTTCCTCCAAGGAACCCAGCAGCGTCTCGGCATCGGCCTCCACTTCGTCCGCCGCCTCGGCAGGATCCAGCACCATTTCCAGTGGCACTATGTCATCCATGTCGGGGACATGCCCGGCGACTATGCCGTCTACCGACTCAACTACCAAACGTCCAGGGCCTCCGGAGCCACCATTGCGACAGGCCAATGTCTTTGATCTGGTGGATACGGGCTCACGGGGTCATCCGCCTCCTCCGTTGACGGTGCGGAACAAGTTGGTCCGCAACAACAAGCCGCCACCCATCACCTATCCACGGATGCAGCAGCGTCAGGACTCCACTCTGTCCAGCGACAGCTACTCGATCAGCTCCAGTCCTGGCTACAACTCCAAACTGATGGAGGTTCCACTGTTGGGCTCGAGCCGCAAGTCCAATGCTCCCGGCTCGGCCCAGCGACAGACTCCTCTCATGGATTTGGCACCAACGCGATTTTTGGGAGGATCCTCCTCCGGAAATGGAAAGCAGGCTCCCGCAGTACCGCCGCCCAGGGGCAAGATCAACTTCCGGCAGGACTCGACCATCTCGAGCGACAGCTTCAGTCAGACGTCCAGTCCGGGCTACAATCCCAAGCTCATGGAGGCGCCTCTGCTGCCTTCCTTGTCCGCCAAGCGATTGTGCAGTGGTAAGTGTTAAGACCATTCCAATACCGAGCCTTCTCACAGGAGTACTCCTCTTTTAGCTCCTGCTCCGATTGTATGCCGCCAGGGAGTGCAGCACGAGCCCATTGAGGAGTTGGAACCTCCGCAGACGATCTCGCCGCTCCACAAGACGGCTGGCCAACCCAGCAGCCTCCAGACCATAGTGCGCTTCCAGAATGGAGCACCGCACACCATGTCCTTGCAGCACCAGGTAAACCAAAAGATTTACAGAGAGTATAGTGATCGTATATCATCATATCATATCATTTCAGATTATAAACCGGCGGAAGAGCTCCAATCCGTACATCACCAACGGCCGCTTGAAGTTCCGCCTGTTCCAGATCCTGATCAACGCCTTCGCCCTGCTGGCCATCGCCGGGGGTCTGGCCGCCTACTTTAATGCCTATCCAACTATCAAGTTCGTCAACAAGACCATCATCAATACGATCCATGTGGAGGACACTACGAGTTTCGGCAAGAATCCAGCCCCAGGCACTTGCCTGCCCATCATTGTGCGCTTTTGTCAGGGTCCCCAGATCCCCTACAACTACACTGTGTTCCCCAACTACATCGGTCACTTTGGCCAGCTGGAGACGCAAACGGTAATCATTGGGATAGATTTACTTATTTTGAGGTTGTGTTAACTCAAATTGATTGAAGGACTTGGATTCCTATGAGGCCCTGGTGGATGTGAGGTGCTACGAGCTGGTGTCCCTGTTTCTTTGCACGCTTTTTGTGCCGAAGTGCGGCCAGAGCGGGTGAGTTTAATCTAGAAACCTTTCGTGGGATCAGTAACCCATAATACTATTATATTAAATATATATTTAGTTATAACAGTCTTATCTTACCCTATTAAATATTACGAATCTTTTAAGTAATGATATATCAAAGAGATTTTTAATCATTATGGTTTTATCTTTTCAACTGTTAAACATTTTCTTTTCTTTTTCTTTTTACAGTCTTCTTACTAAGAATATTCTTATCTTTCCAAATGTTCAAATTTTTAAGTATTATTGGTCAAAGTTAAAACCAAAAAACATCAAAGATATCTCGAGTAATCGAGTAATTACAGTCCTAACTTTTCAAATACCAAGAATCGATTAAGTATTGATGATCCCGATCTCTTACAGCGCCACTGTGCCACCTTGTAAGACCCTCTGCACAGAGACGATGCGCCGCTGCGGCTTCTTTTTCGACGTATTCGGATTGAGTTTACCGGAGTACCTGAACTGCAAGCTCTTCAAGGACTTTCCCAGTCCCGAGGATTGCGTTGGTGTGGATGAGGTCCGCGAGGTGATGAAGGCCGCCACGCATCCCAAGTGCGATGGCTTCCAGTGCGACCAGAATCGGTGCCTGCCTCAGGAGTACGTATGCGATGGCCACCTGGACTGCATGGACCAGGCGGATGAGGCCTCGTGCGAACGGTGCGGTCCGGACGAGATCTACTGCGGGGATAGCCAGTGCATTGGTACGAAGCACATATGCGACGGGATCATCGACTGTCCCTACGGCCAGGATGAGCGCAATTGCCGTGAGTTAGGAGCTCATCATCCCTGGTGACACCTAACCATTTTTCCAAATCCTTTCCAGTGAGACTGAGCGAACGGAATGGCGATGTGGGCACTGGTGTTCTGGAGGTCTATCGCATCGGTCAGCGGCAGTGGATGCCTGCTTGTGTGAAGAACTGGGATCGGGCGGTCTCGCCCAGCGCTGTTTGCTCCATTCTGGGCTACTCGGCTGTAAATGCCACCAGTGTACTGACCCAACGTACTCATCGCCCGCTTCTGGCCTCTGTGAATGTGTCCACTGACATTTGGAAGATGTACGCCAAAAGGAAGTCAACTTTGATGCAGGAGTTCGCCAACTGCAAGAAGTCGGAGGACTATCCGATGGCCGAGCTCACGTGCTCCAATTATGGTGTGTAATCCTGCAGAGAAATCATCACTATTGCTCTACCTTTTTTTTATTTCAGAGTGTGGCCGAGTAAAACGGGGCAGGCACAAGCCTTCGAGACGGATCATAGGAGGAACCCAGGCAAGTCCCGGCAATTGGCCATTCCTGGCCGCCATTTTGGGCGGTCCGGAGAAGATCTTCTACTGCGCCGGCGTCCTTATATCGGATCAATGGGTGCTTACAGCCTCGCACTGCGTGGGAAAGTGAGTTGTGCTCGGGAAATGTGTATATTTGTATGATTTAAAACTTATTTTCGTTTAACAGCTATAGCGTGATCGACTTGGAGGACTGGACCATTCAGCTGGGCGTAACGCGTCGCAACTCCTTCACCTACTCGGGTCAGAAGGTCAAGGTCAAGGCTGTCATTCCCCATCCGCAGTACAACATGGCCATTGCCCACGACAATGACATAGCCCTCTTTCAGGTGGGGTTAATTTTAACCATTAGTTTATTATTGTCTCAATTTATTTTGGATAACCCTGCAGCTCTCCACACGCGTTGCCTTCCATGAGCACCTTTTACCCGTTTGTTTGCCGCCCCCGAGCGTGAGGAATCTGCATCCTGGCACCCTGTGCACCGTCATCGGATGGGGCAAGCGGGAGGACAAGGATCGTGAGTGGATTATAGAGATTTCCGGACTAAGTACAAGACAAATCATTCTTCTTTATCCCACAGCCAAGTCCACGTACGAGTTTATAGTGAACGAGGTGCAGGTGCCCATCATCACGCGTAACCAGTGCGACGAGTGGCTGGACAACTTGACCGTGTCGGAGGGCATGGTGTGTGCCGGATTCGACGATGGTGGGAAGGATGCCTGTCAGGTGAGTCTTACCTAATCATCGAAGTCACCATATGTATATAAACACAATCCGAATGCCAGGGCGACTCGGGTGGTCCGCTGCTGTGTCCGTATCCGGGGGAGAAGGATCGCTGGTTCGTTGGCGGCATCGTGTCCTGGGGCATTATGTGTGCTCATCCCCGTCTACCCGGCGTGTATGCCAATGTGGTGCAGTATGTGCCCTGGATACAGGAACAGATCGCGAAGCACACACGTCCCATCAACGAGGATCGGGTGAACAAGTACGACCTGCATCCGGGTGGACCCGACATCCTGTCCAAAATAGCCACTGACCCGATGCACGAGGGCAAGCCCCACCACTTCACCCACTCCAGGACATCGTCCAAAAACTAATTCTGGCCACGATGAATATAAAAACTAAAGAGTAGAGCCAGAGTCAAGTCTCACTGGAACCGAGCATATCCACGAAACGATTGCACAAAGTACTACACATATAAAACAAACAAAACACAGAACCGATGGATCCTGTAGGATACATACATATATTTTGCTACTGAACTTAGGGTATTAGCCATCCGGCTAACACCGATTTGGGCAACATAATCATGTGTCAATTTGCCGAATTTATTTGTCAATTTTTTTACAAAGAGATTTTTATGAACCTATGTGAAATCCAAGGAAATTAATAACCCAGACAGACGGTAATAATTAACCCAAAATGGGCGCAACTATATGTCAATATAACGCGATTAATATATTTACAAGTAAAACCAAGATAACCTTTATGTACCCGATATCTAACCACTTGATAATTGTGTCTAAATACCCCGAAAACCCAGACAATAATTCGATTTTGTAGCTGAATTTTGTGTTGAAAAGTTCCGGACAAAATGAAACTTGTATTATTATAGGTATTACTTCGGAGGAAACTAAATTATGACAAACGAAGAGAAACTCTGAAAAATATTGTGAAGTATAAATAGTAGAATCACAGCTATTGAGTGTTGACAACTAAAACAGTAAATAAGCAAATCAATTGTAGAAAATGTGTAACTATAACTAAACCAAAGAAAAACAAGGAAAATTTGCTGATCTTGGGCATTTGATGGACGTAGTCGTAAGCTCCTCTCCAAATATGCTGTCTTAGAACACAGAAACTATCCAACAATAAGAAAGTGCAGTTGACAATAATGAGAAATGCACAATAAGCAAGAAAATTGTATCTAGCTGTAAGTCATGAAAATAATATGTAACTAAAATGCGTGGGTTTCAGCTTTAAAGAACACAAAAAGAATGGTATAATATCAAATGGCAGATGTCAGAAAGGAGGTCAGAAGGAATATACTTATACACATAGCGTACGAATCGTACTATTTATGCGGTGAACTACAGAAGGTATACACGCTTCGATAGTGGACATGTCAATGTAACTTAATATTTAGAACTATTTACACGCCAACGCAACTCGTTTGTCACGCCCCACTTAGACTGGCCGCTTTAGCCGAAGCTCAAGGTAACGCCCTGATTGCGATCCCCACTCATCCATAACCCTGGTGTGCCATCTAGAAGATAGAAATGCTAACGTGCAACAGTTTGTAGGCACTACTATTTTGCAAAGGAATCGCACGAAAATGAATGTAAATTACGCGTAACTAAAGACTCAAAATTGGTTGTTTCAACACACACAAAATACACGAACACACACTTGAGCTTCGCGATGTGTACAGCTTTGATATTGTTTTCGAGTCGGAACCGGAAACCAAAATTGGCCGGTATTCCGCAGCTCGATGTTTTTAACTTATCGTTTCTAGCTAAAACCTGTTGAAATGCTTTAGACAAGAGATTGCAAATGTATAACCGATAACTACTAGCTCTAGTTGGACATACTATGCCTAAATATATATATATGCATGTTTTGTACAATCAGTTTACAAGTGGAAAAGTATTACTAGTCTTAACGGGGGGTTAAATGAAGCGCATATTACACAAGGCACACGATGTTTTGAGCGGAACATGAACACAAACCAATATGTAACTGAAATATATACAAGAAATATACATATAACGGATACATATATTCTATATATATATTGTAGTAGTAGCTATTAAGCAGATGTGATGGTGTCTAAATTTATACATGCATATTACCAAGCGAAAAATGGAAAGCTTAGAATATACTCGAGACAAATCTGTGGGCTGTTCTAGATCGAGCATACTAACTATAATGACAGAGTACAGCGGACAGATCCAGGACAATACATACTTATAAAGATATACCCATATCATAGAAATTATGCTTACTTTGATATTGTGCATTGCATGAACATACACATATCGGTGGGTTCCTGAAATCCCCAGAAGTTTTACAACAACAGGTGCCTGAAACCAGGAAATAACGTTGGTGATAAGTCACACGGGGATTTCAGAAACACCTCCGTTCGATACAGTTTGTGTTTGAACTCAGGCGAAGACTCCCTAGCTGTTGCCTTGGACAGAAAGCCACACTTTCACCCTTTCAGTTTTCTGGGGTTCACTCCCCTCGTGCATTTACGATCACACGGATCATGGCGAGCTATTTTTATACACCCCATGCTCCAGGCTACTATCAAAACGCTTAGCTTTATGTACATTTAGTCTAAATCGAACACAACCCATATATTATATATATTGTAGATGTAAAAATGCTTAGCATTGTCGAGTGGAGTGAGTGAAATAATTTACACGTGGCATGAATAGCAGATTAGATAATTACTAAGTACAATACGCATACAATCAACACGCAAACTCAGAATCGCACAAGTCCCATATCCTAGTTGAATTTCTGCGCTTAATGGGGATCGCCCCCAAGGATTCGATTCAGTTCCGCATGCTCCATGTGCTTGGGAGGACACTACATATACTCAAGCCCCAAAAAAAAACAAAGAAACAAAGAAATTGTAGCGAAAAGTTATGTGTAAAATGTAGCAAAATCCAAAAACAAGAAGCTGATTAACAAACTAGTTGAATTTACATGTGTCGCGAAAATAATGAATCATAGTATGTGTACTCACGTATCAGAATATTATATTTAAATGTTTAAAGATGATCATTTGATGAGAAGCACTTGTTATTTATGCACAGACGGAACTTTGTGAAGAATTTACATGAACAAACTTTGACAATAAAAGACAAACTGAATTTTTTCCTGTGAGCTGGACAAGCGCATCGGAAGCATTGAGAATTTATGAAAAGTTTTACATTCAGATTTTGAAGTTTTGACGCGAATCGGAGAATATTGTTGAACATTTATTTTGGAAAACAAAGAGAGAATAACCATGACAATAAGGCAATGTCCTACAATAACTGGGAAAGTGCAGTATCCTAAATGTAACTACATAAACTACACACAGACACGTATAACCAACTAAATGCTAAAAGCAACATGTCATACAATACATGATATATACTTACACACATATATTATATAAATGTTGGAAAATAAATGTATAAAACCATATAAGATTGTAAATGTCTTTTAATAGTCGGTTTCCCAAGGAACTCCAATAACCTGATGTTGCAATTTTGTCAACACTTTCCGCCTAATTAATAAATTTTTCTTGATCCCGTTTTCTCGTCCCCTTGCTAAGTAGCGTTTTAAATGTACATTTTCATATGAATTGTGGGTATAAACCTACTTTTTTAACCAAGAGGATGAGAAAACGGCCCTTAAAACTATGCATCGAAAATGCTATGGTAAATGCATCATTACTTGAGGTAGCTCTGCACCACTTCGCGCATGTCCTTGATGACCTGCCTCTGATCGGAGGCTCCCACCACAGCCGTTCCCGAGACGATCATGTTGGCTCCCGCCTTGGCACAGCACTCGATTGTCTTGGGTCCCACTCCTCCGTCCACTTCGATGTCCAGGTTGGGGTAGTTCTCGCGCAGCCACTCCACCTTCGGCATCATGTCGCCCATGAAAGATTGTCCTCCGAAACCGGGCTCCACGGTCATCACTAGCACAAGATCGGCAATGCTCATGTACTTCTCCAGGTCTTTTACCTATAAAGGAAGTGCAACCATATGATATTGTAATAAATATAAAAAATTGTTAGGTGTATAAGAAATTTCAGATAGAGACATTTTTTGAGGGAAATTCAATATTTTCATATTAATTTCTGGGATAATAACAATAACTATAACTTCAGAATATAAGACATGCTTAAAGAATTCTTCTTTAGTTTCCTTTATCAGGTCCTTCACTTTTTAGTTCTTTGAAAAAAATGGGGCATTTAAAGCTTTTCCATCCCGTACTAACAAGTTCTAATACCTTAACTAAGGAGTTTCAAGTTTTAACCGGCTTGTAATAAATATAACAATAATATTAGGTATCCCGGTAAATAAGAAATATAAATAGATAGAAAAAGGGTTCATATACAAATCTGTCATAATAACAATAACAATAACTTGAGATCATACAACAAGTTTGAAGAATTCTTCTTTAGTTTCCTTCACCAGGGCCTTTACTATTTTGTTCTTTGAAAAAACTGGGGCATTGAAAGCCATTCCATCCCATTCCAACAAGATCTTATACCTTAAATAAGGAGTTTCAAAACATAACCTCAACTCACCTCTGTGCCCGGCTTGATGGCGAGGCCCACCTTCATGCCCGATTCCTGGACCAGGCGGCTGACCCTCTCCACATCCTCCACCGGCTCGATGTGGAACGTGTAGAGATTGACACCCGCATCGGCCATGGGCGCTATCCACTGCTCCGGGTTCTGGACCATCATGTGCGTCTCGAAGAAGGCCGTCTGAATGAGATTACGAAGTATGTAAGTGGATATCTTGCTCTGGGGACCGCAAACTCACCTTGATCTTGTTGCGCAAGCTCTTGACCATGGGGTGACCGAAGGTGAGATTGGGCACAAATGTGCCGTCCATCACGTCCAGATGCAGGTAGTCCGCTCCATTGTCCAGCAGCTTCTGGGACTCCGCCGCTAGGTTGGACAGGTCTGCATTGAGAATGCTGGGACCGATCTTGGCTCGAACGGGCATCTTCTTGGTGGAACAGCTACTGAGCAGGCGGAGCACGGAGCGTTTCGTGGACGCCGTGTTGTTGACTTGAGGTCACACAGAGGGGAGCTGGAGCTCTGAACATTTGAAAAGCGATACGATAACGCTAGAGATGGTAGATTGAGTGGGTTGATTTTAAAAATCAGGAATGTCAAATATCTCGGAAATTACGTTCTTTTTTTTTGTTTTTTGACATTATACAAACAATTTGTTACATTTCATAAGTTTTTAAAGTTATATTATGATTTGTACATCCACCTCTAGTTTTTAATTACTTGCAGCCGCGTTGCCCTGCGAATGGCCAAACAAAAGGGGTATTCTTCAGTAATTCACTTTATTTAAATTTGTTCAACTTTAAGCTTAAAAATACTTCAGTGCATGAGAATATTTTGATGACATTATCGAGGAATGGCCTACAGTTCGTCCTTCTGGGCATGGACACCCGGGTACTCCTTGTTTTCGATGCTAACGCCCTTGCAGCGCTCCTGTTCCACGAGGAAGTCCTTGGCCACCCAGGCCTGGGTGCCATCCTTGAAGAGGAATATTGCGCGGTTATCGTCAACCATGTAGCGCTCCGCCTGGATGTGATTGTTCCAGAGGCTGGTCTGCCACAGCTTGGTGATGTCCTCGGCCTCCGCCCTGGTCGGATTGCCGGTCACCGATACGAAGGTCATCAGAGTGCGTCCCTTTTTGGATACCTTGAGCAGTTCCTCGGGGTTCTTGCTGTCCAGGTTGGACAGATCCAGCTTGGGCTGTGGTCGCAGGTGCTCGGGCAGTTCATCTGCCTCCAGCGGTTCATCATCCTCCTATGGAAAATATAGGGACTTATAAAGTTAAAGCTATGATAAGAAGTTTTATCCCTATTGTTACATACCTCCCACTGATCCAGCAGACGCTCTAGGTCTGCCTCGCTGTAGTCGCGGATATCCTTCTTGGCCCAAGCCGGTTTCTCCTCCTCCTTGAACTTCTTGGCCAGAACCAGCGGGGCCAGGGCTAGGAGTACCAAAATAAGCCGGGTTTGCATAGTGTTTTATTGTATTTCGCTCAGTTTACACTGCCAAACACGTCACCTATCAGCTTGTCATTCGCCCGGATGCGCGGCCGATCAGCTGATGGATGCCGCCACCGCCGCCAGGTGGCGAATGCCGCAACAGCTGTTAGTTTCGGGCGAACATTCAACGAAGGCGCGTCGCACGGGAGTTATTTTTTGATATTGCATGGAAATGCCGCTGGTAAATGGGTCTAGTAAATAGAGATAACGCCTTCGGGGCTACACGTGCATGGGGAGTTGTGAAAGTGGCTGGTTAATACCTATCACACTTCAACCTATTTCGCCATTTTCGTGTTTTAAAACAATGGGTCTAGCCTAGTGGATTGTGCCAAAACATTCGAAATGCGTTCTACGATGACATCATCATCATTGTGATTGTGTTTTTAATCCGCCTCTCCGTTCCATCTGTTTGGCTTCTGTGTTTACGTATATTTTAGAATTACTTTAGACCGCACAACGAACGTAAGAGTTTTTGAAAGACGGCCACAGCCAATTGGAATATACATAGAGCATCGAAGAAAAATCAATAGGAGCATCTGCTAGGACACGATGGTCTTCGAGGCGGTGGTGACGGATGTCCTGAACAAGGTCCTCGGCGACTACATCGAGAACTTGGACCGCAACCAGCTGAAAATAGGCATTTGGGGAGGTGAGTTCCAGTTACAGATCCCCTGGGAAGTACGACCCTATTATGCTATGCTCTCACGCACATCCATCATTTTAATGTATAGTTCCATTGTTTATTGCTCTATCTGCACGCAAGCAGAAAATGAACAGCAGCGGTGACCTTATCCTTGGCAGCACTTACGATTAGTGACCTAATTCTGTCACAGCAAACATTCACGTTTGTAAATGAGCCATATTCGCAAGTTCATGAGAAAGCAATTTACAAGATCTCATCATGTATTCTCGGGAGAGAAAATAGCGCTAGGAACATTCGCACTTGAATGGGTGGGACAACTGTTGCATCTTTTGTGGTTTCTCTCTGCTCCACATGAGCTCACTTGCTCTCTGCTTATTTATCTTTCATATGCAAATTTACTTATATCGGGTGTCTGTGTGAAATCGTAAACAATTCTTGGTCTTTTATCTAAAAGCACTCACATTACTTCGGCCTGTGCTTCTGTTGGCATTCCACATATCAGACCCTTTTTGTTAGTAAATCTTCATAAATAGGCTGTGAACCCCCGAGGCTCAAGATCACCACGAAAATATCCAGTTTGCGGTTTAATAATATACGACGAGCCAAACAAACTGGTTTGATTAAAGATATGGTGACGCAGGTCGGGAGTGACATTCGGCGACCAGCCTGTTAAATTTCGGCTGAGCTTGAACTTGGTGACATAATGCTGGCCGCGCGGGCCACACAATATAATTCTGAACATTTGAAACTTTGTGTTTAATTAGCACTTTATTCTGTGCTTCTTAAAACAGTCTAAAATTTGTTATTGCTTTATTAAGTAAGAAATATATGTATGCATGTACTTTCAATGGAAAGGATTTTTCCCGGAAAAATGTACTGCACAAAGCTTTGACAGAATTTGTAAGGGCCGGAAACATGGCTGACCTATCAGATTTACCACAATCAGCTAATTGTGAAATACTTTTATACTTTTTATATGATTCACATTTTTTATTTTTGTCTAACAATAAATTTTGTTCATATTGAGATATGAAAAAAGAAACGTACATTTTTGAGCACATCAAAATTAAATGGAATTTTTCCAAGTTGTGGAACATGCCTTAAAATTGCTATAATTTATTTATAAACCTAATTAGCTCATCTAATCAACATTAACCTCAATCAGTCAATGAGACAGTACAAATGTGTGTATAGTCTTTGCACATTGTCTGTTTTCCTAATGATTCATATTTGTTTTTATTTTACAATCAACAAGTTAAATCCATAATTTAAAAAGAAACTCAGGTTAACGACCATAGTTGCTTATTAACGTTATCTTCTTTAATCAGTTGTTACAGCTGTATCAGCTGTTATCAGTGTAACTTATAATAATACCCGTGTATCGAATGTTGGTAATTGAAAACCACTTGTAGAATTAATTGTTCTTGACAGATACCATGTCAGTAGAGTCAAGCTCTGTTCTTATCAATAGAAAACCCCTCGCCTATGGAGTTGCAAAAGCTTATTGGGGTGCTTGGTCGTTAAACTATTGACCCACATGCGTAATTCAATATAAATTCACAGTTTTGTGCTGCTCATTTGGCATTCCAAGCATAACAAACACTTAAAAACAAAAATGCCGCATGCCCAAAACGCCAGACGTTGGTAAACAATATTGATAGGTTGCCGCTGCTGTTGCTCATATACATATGTACATACTTATGCGTATACTTAATACAGTGCTTCGCAAAGCCATATGTGTTGGCCTTCGTCGTAGAGAACTTAGTTATTGTGCACTACCTTCGCAATTAATCAGTAATTAATCAATGGGCATTTGCTCCTACTGCTGCAAATGACTGATTACTGAAACTGATAAGACTAATGGAAGCTAATTCTACTTTGTTTGGCAGGCGATGTGGTCTTGCAGAACCTCAAAATACGGGCGAATGCCCTGGACGAGTTGGACCTGCCCGTGCAGCTTATCTACGGATACCTTGGTAAGTGAAAGATGATTAGCAAGTGAGTTAAATTTAATTACAATGTTAAATTCGAACTTCCAGGCAAACTAGTGCTCAAGATCCCCTGGAAGAATCTGTACAGCCAGCCGGTTGTAGTCAACATCGAGGATTTGTATGTCCTCGTATCGCCCAACAACAATGTCAGGTACAACGCGGAGAAGGAGGCCAAATATGAGATGGATCTCAAGAAGGCAGCTCTGGATGCCCTGGAGGCAGCCCGCAAAAAAGAGTTAGAAAAGGGTAAGATAACATTCTTCCTGCTTCGAGTAAGAAATAATACATTTAATGATCTGCAGATCAGCCCAAGCCCGATGCTGGGTTTGCTGAAAAACTAACGGCGCAGATCGTGAACAACCTGCAAGTGAAGATAACCAATGTTCACCTGCGATACGAGGACACCACCACCACAGGTAGTCCCTTCTCCTTCGGCATATCCCTGCACGAGCTGGAGCTCTACACCACCGATAGCGACTGGGAGAAAACCTACATGGCCCAGCAAGCCTCCCAGGTCTTCAAAATAGCGAATCTCTCCTGCCTTTCCGCCTATTTGAACTGTGGTGGACAGCTGTACGCAAACTACATGAACACACTGGCAGAACAGTTCCAGACAAATATTGCCACCAAGGAGTTGAAACCCAACTACAACTATGGTAGAACTTTAACTTTCGATAAGTTTTAGAACACCTTATTCATTCTTTTGTGTTTACAGTGCTGGGTCCCATCTCTTGCAATGCCAAGTTGAAGCTAAATATGAACCCAGAGTTCGATGATCCGCCCTTTGAAAGGGCGAAGATTGATCTCACCCTGGAGATGGAAAAGCTAAACGTGGGCATAACTAACACGCAGTTCGACAATCTCATGAAGTTGGGAGATGCTATGAATCGCCAGCAGTTGGGCATTCCCTACCGGAAATATCGCCCATACGACATACGTAAATATAAATCATCTCTACATCTATCAGTTAGTCATAAATCTTTTATTTTATCAGCCTACAAGGGTCATGCCAAAGAATGGTGGCACTTCGCAATAACATCTGTTCTAGAGGAGGAAGTAAGGAAACCTCGAGAGAGCTGGACTTGGAGACACATAAGGATGCATCGCGAACGCTGCAACACCTATGCCCAGGTGAGTCGACTGATCTGCGACAAGAAAATTCGGATCTTCACAATTCCTTTTTACCACATCAGAAATACAAGGAGCAGTGCCTGAACAAAAAACCGTCCGCCGTGCTGACAGAAACCTGCCGTCTGCTGGAAACGGAGCTAGACGTATTTAACTTGCTGCTTATACGGCAGAGGGTGAACATAGAGATAGCCAAGGAGCGGGAGGCAGTGCCCGAGCCAAAGCAGGGCTGGTTCAGCGGTTGGGGATGGGGTGGCGGAGCCAAGAAGGAAGATCAGACCGCCGGTCAAAAATTAGGCAAGTAATTCCGCATTTTTCTGAAGAACTGATCTTTCAATTAACTAATCTTCCAGTCGAGAAGTTCGAGGCGGCAATGACGGGCGAAGAGAAGGAAAAGATGTACCGGGCAATTGGTTACCAAGAGAACGCCAAGCCCACGGATCTTCCCGAAAACTACCAGGCCATCAAGATGAACTTTAAACTGATCGCTCTGGAGGTTGGCCTGTACAAGGATGAGCGAGTTAGTTCCGTGGAGTCGTACGACTATCATGACCTGCCTTCTCTGCTGCTTTTGAATTTCTCGATGGCCACTGCGTCAATCACTCAACGGCCAGCTGCCGAGGCCATAAGCATCACTGCTGGCATGAAGGAGCTCAAGGTTACGGGACTTAAACGCAAAGATTACACACCATTGCTGGTGGAGTCGAAGATCACCGATGAGTTCAACCTGCTGGACGTGTTCTTCGAGACGAATCCCTTAGACAAGTTGTGCGACCAGCGGGTGAAGGTTGTGGCGCGTCCGCTGCAAATTGTGTATGATGCTCCTACCATCCTGGCCCTGATTAGGGCCTTCCAGCCGCCTGGTGATGTCACACTCTCCAAGTTTGAGGATGCGGCCAGTTCGCGAATCTCCAATTTCAAGGAGCGCTCTGCCACCGGAATGCAGTACATGATCGACAAGAAGGCGGTGTTGGATGCGGATATACTGTTTATGCCAAACATCCTGGTCGTGCCCCATAAAGGAGTCTATGAGGCGGACAATACATCACTGCTAGTTCTTAGCATGGGCGAGGTGCGCCTCTCCAGCCAGCCGCGCAAGGAGTCTAAAAAGCTTCACAATCTCTTCTCTGCCGGCGAGGATAAGGACGAGATCCTGAAGACAGTGATGGACAATGCCTACGATAGATTCACGGTCGAGTTGAACGACGTGCAAATGCTCGTGGTGCGAGCTGGAGAGCCGTGGCAGACTGCGCTGAGTGAAGCCAGCTCAACGGAGATGCACGTCTTGCGACCCGTCTCCCTGAAAGTAACTGCCGCCCTGTGTGTGATAGACAATGACCCGCGGCTGCCCAAAGTCAAGATAGACATCGACCTACCGGCGATCCTGGTCAATGTCTCGGAGGATCGCGTCTTTCTTGCCATCAGAGTGGCCCTAAGCATTCCGCTGCCAGAGCAACAGCAACCGAGTGGAAAGCTCACACAGACGAATTCGCGCAGCTCAATGTCCATATCCAACTTCATAAACAAAGAAGTGAAAAAGATTGGACCATCGGCATCGTCAGCACCCAGCGCCAAAGCTTCATTGGTGGACGAGGTTACCCAGTACACAAATCTGGAGATTAACTTCTCTCTGGGAGAGATATACTTCGTCTTGTTCCAGTCCAGTAGGAGAAGCGAGACGAGCTCCGACGTATCCATAGAGTTTCTCACCCCTGAAGGTGATCCCGCCCCTCCCCAGCTGACGATGAATTTGCCAGTCGAAGAGCCTGTGGAACGACCACCACGCACGCCTCCTCGGCAGATTATCTCCATCGACATTCGCCGCCTGGAGGCCCACTTCGTAGCCAGAACTTACGAGTCTCTGGCCACAGTCAAGTAAGTGTATTTAATAACACTCTGGTGTTTGCTTAAATATCTAAATTTAAACCATATTTTAGGCTTGGGGATATTAACCTGCGACAATATGGTTGCCAGGACGGCGACTTGGAAGTATTGGACGTAATCCACACGCCGAAAAAGGAAAATAGCTCCAACTATCTGTTCACCGTCTCGTGCACCATTGCAGACAAGACGTCGCCGGAGTTCAGCACCAAGTACAACTCAACCGAGCAGCTGGTCGTGGCAAACTTCGAGGTGCTTCAGATTGTGCTGCACCAGGAGTGCCTGCAGCGGATCCTGGAGGTCGTAAACAATTTCCAGAGAAATCTGGACCATGTACTAGCAAGCACACGGCCACGTGACCGTATGGGCTCTATTGGCGGTGGCGATGGCCTCAAGAGGAAGCTTAATGTCATCCTTGAGGACACGGAGGAGATAATGACCACCAACCAAATGAAGCGCCGCAAGAATACGAAGCGCAGTCGCGTCGTTGAGACTGTGAAGGTTCGTGTGATCGCAAATCTGGACGAAGTGGGCCTGTTGCTCACCAGCCAAAACCGACCGTTGGCCGAGATGAACGTGAAGAAATTCGTATCCAGCCTGATCATTAAGTCGTCCTACACGGAGGTTAATATAGGCCTGAAGGATATTCAGGTGTTGGACCTGAATCCTTACACCATTCACAAGAATGTAAGTCGTTCCTTACCCGCCCATAAGATCACAAATCAATATTGTAGCTCTTCGTAGATTCTGAGTATTGTTGGCAAGGACGCCTTTAACTGCCAGATTGTGCTCTACAACAAAGAGGAGACCCTCGACTACAACTCCGATGACATGAAGATAACAGTGGACATTGGCTGTATGAAGATTATCTTCCTCAATTGGTTTGTGGCGGGAGTGATGGTAAGTAATTGCCATTACATAGATTGATATATGCTAATGCTCCCGATGGTCTTGCAGAACTTCCTGAACAACTTTACCGAGGCCCAGGCAACCATATCACAGGCCAGTGCTGCGGCTGCGGAGACCGCTCGCCAGAAGGCGATGGATGCCTACGAAACAGCCACGCGCATGAAACTGAATGTTCGCATCAAAGCGCCCATTATCATCGTGCCCATTGGCTCCGAGGACACCAACGCCCTGTCCCTCGACTTGGGTCTGTTGGAGCTGACGAACAACACTGTGGAGGTGGCGGTGCCCAACGAGGAACGACTGGCTGTCATAGACGAGATAAAGTTGCACATCTGTGATGTGAAGATATCAAAAGTTGTCTTATTGGATGGCAACGAATCGACGGTTGATGGTAGTTATATCGGTTCTGGATCCCGGATCAATGCACCTAAACAAGTGTTATCTTTTCAGAAATGGATGCTGCCGTGGGTTATTTATCTAAATTTAATATGATGAATCCCATGAGTTGCACCTTATTGGTGACCCGTAATTTGTCGTACACCTGGTACAGGGATGTGCCCGAACTAAATCTTTCAGGTCGTTTGAAGTCCATTGAGGTAATATTAGTTGAAACTTATCTCAGCTTAGGCTAAGACTTTTACTCAACTCATAGCTCACACTCTTCGCGGATGACTATGCTTTGGTTATGATGATTCTCAATCACAATTTAAACGAGGGCTTGGATGAGTTCCCTCCAAGCGAAGAGGCACCTGTGGAACAAAAGTACCGACCCGAACGACGTAACTCCTACGGGGAACGCACTCCTCGGACCATCGAAGCTACTCCAAAAAGAGAGAAGATTCACGAATCGATAAAGTTTAACTTCCAGTTTGATGGTGTGGTCATAAATTTAATGGAGGGTAAGCTTTCTCTTTCTGCTTTTTATATAGAACTTTGATTATCAACTTATCTGTTATGGTACCAGCTGAAGACGCAGGACTCGCCAGGTTTGGAATATACTTCCTATCCATCAAGGGCACAAAGCTGGACAACAACACCCTGAGCACTTCAGTGGTCCTGTGCAATATCCAGATGGACGACATGCGCCAGAATACTAACAGCCAGATCCGGCAGTACTTAAGCCGCAAGGATTGGGTTCAGCCCAAAATGGATACCGACGAGATCATCGATGCCTGCTACAACGAACGCAACTTTATGGTCGATGTGACAGCAATTATAAAGGAGGACGACACATTTGGTTGGTTTTACCGAGAGACTTTAAGTTCTTCAGATCATGTAACTCCATCATTGCAGCTGAGATCCGTGTGCGTGGCTTCGACTTGATCGTCTGCATCGACTTCCTTCTTAGACTGACTGAATTCCTTACCCTGCCGCCTGAGGAGTCTCCGCGCGATACTGTTGTTGCGAGGCCAGACACGATTGCGGAAACAGCACGGGTGGCCAAGCACTCCCTTCGCACCTCCGCCAAAATAGCCGCAACCGAACTTGTTCCCGTGGAGACACCTAGTAAGTGTAAAATGCAGTTAAACATCTGAGACTCTCCTAACGAAATCAATTGTCGATTCCAGAACTCGCTGCCCAAAACAAGAAAATGAACCTGATTCTGCACATCGACGAACCAGATATAATATTGGTTGAAAACCTAGAGGATCTAAACACCAGTTGCATTATTTTCAATGTGAGTTGATCAACAAGTTTATATTCCCTGTGCTGACTAATAGTTCTTCTTTTCCAGGCTCAAGTTAATCTGAATTACCGCAGCATAAACGACAAGCAGATCGTAAATGGGCAGATCGATGCCCTCAAGATGTACATGAGCGCTTTTCTGCCGGAAAGGCGAGAGATGACGCGCCATTACATTCTGCATCCGTGCGTTATAAGCCTGCAGGGATCCACGCCCGAGGAAGAGGGCATGCACATAAGCCTAAAGCTGAGCGACATCATCATCAACGTGTCGCCGGCCACCATTGAGCTGCTCAACAAAGCGATGCTGAGCGTCACTAGTGGCAGCATGGCCAAGACTGCCATTGCCGAGGAGTCGCGCAACTATTCGAATCTGTGGAATCAGCGCCACTTCCATAGCCGCACCTTCTGGTTCACCAAGGTGGAGCAGGGCGTCGATGCCCTGGAAGATCAGCAGCGCGTCAGCACAGAATCGCAGTTGCAAAAGACGGAGAAGTGTGTGATCGAGATCCCCAGCATTACGCTCGTGATCGAGTCCGGCGTGGGCTACTACACGAAGCCACTCATCTCGCTGGACACCCGCATCACAGCCGTGTTCAACAACTGGAGCCGCAATCTCACCGCTCATGGCTCTCTGACTCTAAACATGGTAAGTACGATTAGACAACTTCCAAAGATGGCAAATCTTAAAAGATGTTTATATAAAATAAGTGATAAATGTGATTTCTTTGCAGAACTACTATAACCAAGCACTTGCTGAATGGGAGCCCATTATTGAGCTCAACGAGGTGATTGGTCGCAACGGAGTTCACGAATACACGCCATGGGAGCTCAAGTTCGAAATGGGCATGGAGAAGGTGCAGAACGAGGTGGATGAAGATGACGAGCAGCAGGCCATGCACATGAACATCCACTCGGAGGAGACGCTTGAGATCACTTTGAGCAAGACGTGCCTGGGTCTGCTGGGCGAACTGGCCGAAGCGTTCTCGCAGGCCATCGACCAGAAGGGTCTGACCAAGCCGGAAATTGTGGCTCCCTACGTGCTGGAGAACGATACTGGCTTCGATGTTAATCTGGATCTGCGGAAGGGCATCTTTACGCTGCACGAGGTGCACCGTGGTGGTAACCTGCCGGGTGTAAGCAGCACCTTGCTTATGTCTACCCATACCCAGGAGATCGATCCCAGCGTAATAAAAACAGCCACGATTTCGTCGGGCGGAAGAGCATACCTTCAGACTAAAGACTTAAGCACATTATCCGAGGAGGATGCCGAGGACTACACTCTCTATGTCACGGTATGTGAACATCTTACTTTGTTAAAGATGCCCCTTTAAACTGGGTATTTGACAGATTGGCGATATCAACAAGGAGATTGGACTGCCCGTGTCCAAGTCGGACACCCGTTTCTTCAATCTAATGCGCAGCACTTCTCAGGAGCCGTGGGGCATTATTTCCGAAGTAACTCAGGACTATGGCACCACGAAAGTCAATATCCACGGAGTGGTTTTGGTAAGTATCTCACATAAGGTTCTGATCAGGACAACTTATATTCTTTTCCATCATTCGCAGATTCATAATCACTTTACGACAAGTGTAAATATTTATCGACGCAATCTTGCGCCCACTGCTGAAAGTTTTGAGGATATTTTCATCGGGCGTGTTGGTCCCCATTCGGTGTTCCACGTGCCGCTGCACGCCATCTACGCGGACTCCAAGGAGCTCTACTTCTCGATGCGCGGCTACAGAACATCAGTGCAGGGTATTTCGTGGGCTGCCAATCCCTCGGACATGAATTACTCTCATCAGTTGCACTGCGATCCAACCAAGACCTTTGAGTCGCTCATTATCAACGCTCGACGAAAGAAGTCAGAGGTCTATTATGAGAACACCAGCAAGTATACGCTGCTGAGCGCCTTCTACACGATCCATCTGCGTCCGCCACTCTATCTGCGCAACTCCCTGCCCATCAACATCCAAGTATCGGTGGCCGGCTGCTCGGTCCGAAAGGAGGATGCCCTGGATACCCAATCCTCGGTGCAGGTGATGGACAAAGGATACAGCAAGGAAGATTTCCTGGACTATGGCGAGAAACCAGTGAACTCGGGCGATGTGCTTCACCTGCCCACCGTTCGATTGGCCGCAACGAACAAGGAAGCAAAAAGCTTCCTGGTTGTGCGGGTGAGTTACTCTTTAATACTCTCAAAATGAAACCTAACCAAGAATCAATCGGCCGTTTAGCTGGTTCAATACCTTGAAAAGGACTGGTCCTGTGCCACCGAGGTCTGGGATTACACTGACGATATTATTACCTGGACGTTCTCATCGTACGACTCGGAGTTAAAGGTGGACATGGATCTGTGTGTTAAGTAAGTAGTATTTATAATTCACAAGAGAATGATAAATATTAATGCACAATCCGGAATTAATCTTAAATTGCAGGACCGAGAATCGACATGGCAGCTTGATGCTTACACTCTTTAGCCCCTTCTGGATGATAAACAAGACAGGAATGATGCTCACTTACAAAACCGAAACGACCTCCGTAGAAGTGCTGTACCACCCTCCGGAATATTCCGGACCCATATTGTTCACGTTCCGGGATAAGATCTTCTTTGACAAGAAAAAGGCCTCCATTCGCATCGACAACGGCCAGTGGAGTGAGAAGATCCCCCTGGACGTGGCCGGGTCGATTGGAGAGGTGACATGCTTTGCGAACAACCAGAAGTACCCCATTGGTGTTCACAACCACTTGACTCAGAACTCCCTGACCAAGCAGATCACATTTATCCCCTTCTACATTGTGTGCAATAAGTGCCGCTTCGATATTGAGCTGCAGGAGCAGAGTCGCCCAGCCGATCCGTGGATACACCTCGAGCCAAACGAGCTTCAACCCCTCTGGCCCAGGAACGACACCAAGAACAACCTGGTGGCGCGTGTGGACGGCAAAACGACTCCAGCCTTCGACTTCACGGAGGTGATCTGCACGCTGCTGAAGCTGGAAGACAGCAAGTATGGTGGCATCAATGTGGATGTTCAGACGACGGAGGGCGGCGTCTATATCACTTTTACGGATTACAAGCCAGCCGATGCACCCGGCCTGCTGATCAACCACACTGGCAAACAGATTACCTACTGCGAAAAGGGAACGAAGAACGAGAAAATTTTGAATGCCAAGAGCAACATAATGTTTGCCTGGGACGACCCGACGGGTGCCAAAATCCTCATATTTGGCGCCAACAAGGAGGAGACGGACCTGAAACGCGACGGAATCGGCGAGGTGGTGTAAGTATAAATATCCTTCACAACTAAACAATATATATAAATTTAATCAATTACCCATTCGAATATATAGCATGCAGGACGGTCAAAAGGTCATGTGGGTATCTTTCCTGGACGGCCTGCAACGTGTGTTGCTCTTCACCGAAAACGCATCGATTGCCCATCGTACAGAGAGCACCAATTCGCTGCAGACCATCACCCAGAGCATCGATCTGAGTATCCACGGCATTGGTCTCTCAGTGATAAACAATGAGTCTGGCCTGGATATACTTTACCTGGGCATCACCAGCTCCGGAATCATTTGGGAATCAAAGAAGATAACCAAGAAGCGCTTCAAGGACTTCACCATTGCCGAGAACGAGCTCCTGGAGATTGAGTACCAGAAATATCTAGTGCACAAGAGTGTCAACGATGTGCAGACCTACAAGCTGGACAACAAGTTCCCGGTAAGAAGACCTCAAATTGCTTTTTGTCTGTTGAATACTAAGTCGTTACATTTCAGATCGACTTTGACCATATGATCCTAAAGAAGACGGTGGAACGCAACTTAAGACGCAGCTTTTATCCAGCTATTTGGGTATCCCGCAAGTCGTCGCCATTCCAGAACCAGCTGCATGTGAAAATCAACCGTATACAGGTGGACAACCAGTTCATAGATCCAATATTCCCAGTTGTGTTGGCGCCAATTCCGCCGCCCAAGAGCGTGGCGAATACCACCTCCCTCAAGCCGTTCATCGAGTGCAGCATGGTGCAGCGCATCATGCCCAACTCAACGGTGCGCCAGTTCAAGTACGCCAAGATCCTGATCCAAGAGTTCCTCTTCAAAGTCGATTTGAATTTCCTCACTGCCATCGCCGAGATGTTTGCCAAGGAAGTGACCGACGAGATAGCTGCTAAGCAGTTCCGACAGGACGTTGAGTCCATTGAGATGCCGCTATCCGCCTTCTTCGAGGAGCACTCGATGGAGGAGCAGAAGAGCTTCTACGACAACCTGCACTTGGGTCCGCTTAAGATCCATGTTAGCTTCTCGATGGCCGGCTCGGACACGAAGGCGTTGCCCGGCTTCTTGGGCTCGTTGGTTCAGGGCGTGGGAGTGACCCTAACGGACGTCAACGATGTGGTCTTCCGACTGGCCTTCTTTGAGCGCGAGTACCAGTTCTTCACACAGAAACAGTTGATCAACGAGATCACCTCGCACTACACTGGCCAAGCGCTGAAGCAGCTGTATGTCCTTGTCCTCGGCTTGGATGTCCTGGGCAATCCCTATGGCCTGGTGGTTGGACTCAAAAAGGGTGTCGAGGACTTGTTCTACGAACCGTTCCAGGTAAGTTAAATTTAATGTATTTAATAACTGGATTATAAGCGATACTGTTTCAAAGGGCGCCATTCAAGGACCCGGTGAATTTGCCGAAGGAGTGGTACTGGGCGTAAAGTCGCTATTTGGACACACGGTGGGCGGTGCCGCGGGAGCCGTGTCAAAGTGAGTTTACCCTCTTTTATATTTAATGTCACTCTAAACATATATATCCCTATTCAATCATAAGAATTACCGGTGCAATGGGTAAGGGCTTGGCTGCGCTGACCTTTGACGAAGACTACCAAAAGAAGAGACGCCAGGGAATTCAAAATAAACCCAAGAACTTCCACGAAGGATTGGCCCGCAGCAGCAAGGGTCTGGTTATGGTAAGACCGCAGACGAATATTCCTATAGTCATACTCTAATCATAATTACCTTTTATTCATCCAGGGCTTTGTGGACGGTGTCACTGGCGTTGTAACCAAACCTGTGACTGGGGCTCGCGACAACGGAGTCGAGGGCTTCTTCAAGGGCCTGGGCAAGGGTGCCATCGGCCTGGTAGCTCGCCCCACCGCTGGCGTGGTTGACTTCGCCAGTGGCAGCTTCGAGGCTGTGAAGCGGGCGGCGGATGCGAGCGAGGATGTGAAGCGCATGCGGCCGCCTCGTTTCCAGCACTATGACTTCGTTCTGAGACCCTATTGCTTAATGGAGGCGACGGGCAATAAGATAACGAAGTATGTGTCGATCGTTAACCTATTACCAAGTATTAGAATTTATTTTATCATACCCAATTCTTTGCAGGGAGACCGACAAGGGTAAATTTGCCACCACGGACAACTTTATTCATTGCGAGGAGATCATCCAGAAGTCCGAGTACCTGGTGGTGACCAACTACCGCCTTATGTACGTGCAACGTAACGAGATGTTCGGCGTCTGGACGGTGAGTTTCACAGCTAACCCTTAGCCTTGGATCTATACTAAAAAGTCTTTCCAAACACAGTCTCTCTGGTCTTACCTGTGGAGCGAAATCAGCTCCGTCGCTGCCACGAATCGCGGTGTCCAGATCACCGTCAAGTCGGACGGCAAGAAGGTACTGGGTCTGTTCAGCAGCAAGGAGACACCCCGAAAGCTGGTGCTAGTGGGAGACGATCGCAAGCGTGTTGCCCTGCTGGACATCATTGAATCTCAGCGCGCGGACCCCAATCCCTTGAGGACCACCGTCGCCTATCCGGCGAGCAACCAGCACTAGACCTGAATTTATTTCCCAACTGTATTATAATCCAAGCACATCCCCACGGCATCGGCAGCGACATTGAAATCTACCTCGATCCCCTAGATTCTGTCTGTCCAAGCACCATGCACCCCATTCGGAAAACTCACACTCACGTGTCGTACTTTTACGTATGTTAACAACAACCATTATGTTTTGATATTAAAATTTTATGTCAAAGTTTATGTGACACCCGGAGAGTGGTTTTCACTAGCCTAAGGATTAAATCTAAAATACAGAGACGAACGAGCTCTCCAGGATGTCGGATGTTGGATAGCGGATGACGGATGAACGGGAGTCTACACCTTCTTCAGGAAGCTGCTGGGTGTGGTGGACAGGGGCATGATGGGCTCGTAGTTGTTGTAGCCATCGCTTTCGCAGAAGGATGTCAGCGAGGCGAGTGCATTGGCGGCCAGCGCCTCCACGCTGAACATGGTGGACAGGTGGCCGCTGCTCTCGAACTGGTTGATGATCATGTTCACCTTGCTCTTGGCATCTGCCTTCAGGCACGGCGACGTGGGCTGGCTGCCCGGCAGGCCGGGATCCCGATCACCCGGACTCGCATCGTAACCCTCGCCCAGTTCGGCGTCCGTCAGCAGGTTCTCCTTCTCGCTCTGCTTGCACTTGGCATTGTTCGGTGATCCATTGACTGAGTTCAGCGACTTGGTGCTCTTGTTCAGGCGACTGAGGAACCAGTTCCGGGCCAGCTTATCCTTATCACAGTCCTTGCTACCCGGACTTGACTGCGGCGTGGTTGTCGACTTGCGCTGCTTCTTCTGCTCCTTGGTGGGCGTTTGTAGGGGACTGGTCAGCGGGGAGAGCATTTCCGGTTCGTTGCCATTCGTGTAGGTCTTCTTCACGGCCTTCTTCAGACGATCTGGATTGGATCCGCCCGCTGACAGCTGGGTGGAGAGCTCACTGTGCACGGTTTTCACCTTGGCCTGGAAGTCCAACGAAATGTTTCCATGCAGGCGGGAAGGCAGTGGTTGCACCTTGATCTCTTCCCCGTTGGTTAGCTCCAGGGATTCCAGTTCCCCACCCACGGAGGCGACTCCGGCGGAGGCTTCCTGCAGCGGCTGGGCAGGACACTTGGGTACATCGTACTCGAAGCGTCGGGCCAGGGCGTTTGGACTGTTGTTCTTCTCCGGCAGCTTAGGCAGCACCATGGTCGAGGAGTCCATGAGACCGTAAATGGGCGAGGGTTCCTCGTATATAATATCCGTGGCTGTATATGTGGACTTCTTCTGGACCGGCGGAGTGGGCAATTTCCGGGGCGGTGGGCTCTTTAGGGCCTGATGCGCCACGGCATCTCCGCGGATGGCCGCCTCGATGGCGTGTATCCACTCTTTGGCATCGACTTCGTTGTTGGCCTGGTACACGAACTTCTTGTTGGGGTCGTCTGTGGTGATCTGGAAGCAGATGTCGCGCCGCTTTCCCTCGCCAAAATGCTCGATCTCGATGGAGGAGCACTTCAGGTAGAGGGTGCTGCTGGGTCGACAGGCGGTCGGTCCATCTGCATAGCACAGCATCCAGTCGTTAAGGATGCCGCAGTAGCACTTGCGGGTCTGGTCGAAGAACAGCCGCTTTGGAACGATCCGCTGCAGCTGTCCGTACTTGGTGGACCGCTGCAGGGACAGGTGGCCAGCGGGCAGGTCCGCGTACGGACAGTCGATGATCAGCTCGTGGGTGAAGGTGATCGCCTGCTGGGCCTCGTCCTCGTCCTGACCCGTTCCCTGACCCTGGCAGATCTCGTAGAGCTGCTGATGTGGCTCCTTGTCCGAGGAACCCGGAACCGGTTGGTTGACGGAGCAGCGATCCAGGGAACCGCTGCTGCCCAGATCAATGTATTCCCGCGAGGCGGACACTGCAATTAGGGGTAATTAGTGATAGTTGTAGGCATTAAGTACAGTCGGTCTTCTGAATCGTCAACTAGTATTTCTTGTTTGCCTCCATTAAACCACATGTTTTAATTCAGCAATAACTTTTAAAATTGCATTTATTTAAATGGATACCTTATTGACCTCGGAAACTTTTCTAAGATTCATGTACATATGTACAAATATGGTTTTAAATCAGCAGTTTTGTATTATTGATTCTAAGTATTTGATGTTTCAAATGATTAGAGAGTTCTAAAGAAATAATGCCATACTAATTGATAAGTGTCAATATTGATAGGGGTTGATGTTTAGCTTAGAACCGACTATCTATTGAAAACTTTAAATGTCTTTTTATGACTGAATAACTATCCTTAAATGTTTTTTTTTATGAAATCTGTAAGAAGTTTGTAATTTTTTTAAAGCTTTCTCAAGTAATTTACATCAAAAAATGTTATATTATAAAAAAATATTGACTTTGAAACAAAATATTTTTTATAGAAACTAGTTGTCAGGCATTGTAAATCAAAACCTTTGTGTTTGCAACATGGGTTTGAGTTATGGAAGTACCACTGTACATATGTGTTATGTTCCCTGGAGCACTCACGCGAATTTTTCGAGGAGGACGGGGAGGCGAGCATCTCCAGATAGCCGCTGGGACCGGTCTCCGCGCCCACCTTGCTGTCGACGCAGTCGGCCAGGCTGCTCCGGTGGTTGTGGCTTGCTGCCGCCTGCTCGTCTGCGCATCCCAATCCGGATCCCGACCCAGATGCAGCCAGTAGAAGCTCGCAGCGGGCCAGGAGTGAGGCGGTCTGCTCGGCGGCGGTCATGTGGAAGAGGTTCGAGGCGTTTTCGTACTCCGAGGTCTCCAGCGAGGCTCGGAAATGGGCGCGGACATCTGCAATGGAACCGGAGGGGAGGATCGTAAGTTCTAATGTACGCTTTTAGCTTTTCAGCTGGCTAAATAAGGCGGCGGCCCCATTAGCTATTAATTCTTAAACGCATCATTGGCCCTAATGGCAGGCAGTTGAGCAAGAGTGTAGCTTCCATGGGGGCAATTAGTGGGCCAGTGGAGTGGCGGTGTCTTCTGCCTCGGCTTCTGCAGCTGTGACTCACTGGGCGGGAAGTTAAGTACTAGTACTCCGGTTCCCAGTAACAACACCATACATATGTGCACATAAGTGACCTCATAAAGCTCTCGCTCAAGAGTCAACTGCGAATTGACCGCGGCAATTAAAAATAATTTCACTGGCCAAGAAAGTTAACTCTGGTGTCTGCTGCCCTGGCCCCCTCTAAGCTGAGATGCCCACATCCACTTCCAGAAGTATAAATTATTTAACGGTAAAGCAGAAAACAGAAAACACTGAAATTTGCAAGAAATCTTGTTAAAACTTAAGCACGCAAAGCTCTGGAGAGCAGCTCTTTAAACGTAATACGTCCGAATATGGCAATAAGAAAAATGCCCGAAAGTCGTGCTGGTAAAAGTCCGAACTGGAAATGCCCTTAAAAATTATACAGAATACTTAATATTATGTGCAAGCAAAATTGAGTCCTTCTTATTTTTAAAAGCTTTGAAGATTTTTATCCTAATTTTCTAGAAAGAATTTATATTCTGCTCTACAATATAATAAAGGATACAACAAACCAAGTTAAAGCACTTTATGGTCACTTTTTCTTTATGAATTAATTTACTAAGAAAATGTTTGCAATTGAATTAATATAGAATTTTTTTTAAATGTATTATATATTTTCCAAATACTACTGAATATTTTTTTAAATTTACCTATGTACTTAAAGTTAAAACAAAGTTTGACCTTATTGCCGGACCGGATGTGAAACTCGCACATTGTGTTCATCCGTTTTAAATAAAACCAAGTAACACCCAAACAAAACATTACGTCAAATTGAAAACTTTAGAGATACATCCAGAGTGTGAGTATTTTAGAGTAATGAGGATTCATAATCTTTCTCCAACAAAACAAATATTAGAAAAGTGCATTTCAAAGTAATTTGCTTGTACTTTATGCCAAATCAGGAGGTAGGCTTTTTAGAGTTTAGTTCCACATTCATGGAAAGTTGGTTAGGCTCAAACTTTTATTGAAAACGTTAACAAGTATAGTAGCATTTAAAAAGTATCTTAAGAATATACTTTTAGATACAGATGTATGAAAAACATGTCTTTAGGTTATACTTTTCGTTATGTTTCGCCCATCTTCTTGTACAATTATACAAACAGTGAGTTATTTGCTTGCTTTAAGAAAGTCACTGATAAGCAGTGGTTTAACCAGGACCGATGGAAACTCCCCAGCGCCTTATTTGTTCGATATTTAACGATCAACAACAAGAGGCCCCTTCAGCTGCGATTTACTCAAACAAAGATAAATTGAGGCAACAGTCATCGCAGGAGGGTTTGATATGCTTCCTATGCCCTTCATCATGCCCAGAGCCAGTGAACCGAGACCTGAGAAAATTAAACTGACTAAAGAAGAGGCAAAAGAGGCTAAATCAAGCGCTTTGGGCTTAGTTTTGCGGCATGTACAATCCTCTGTTTATTGTCTACCCTGTGCAGATACACATGTATAACGACATATAAACGATTCGGGGGAACAGAGCTAAAAGTTAAACGAGGAGTCCAAATCGGTCTCGATAAAACGTACGAAATATACGCAGAGCAGAGGGCACAAAAATAACCAGAAGACTCCGATGGCCATAAGCCAGAACCAGAACAAAAGAGTATTAAACTTGGACGCCTGCGGAATGAGTCAATAATACTCCGGCACTGGGTTATTGTTATTGCAAACGCTTATGTGTCGGAGTTTGTTCCTCCTCCTCTATTTCAAGTCGGTTTGTAATTTTTGATGGCGCTGTTTGCCTGGCAAAATTAACAAAGTTTCTGTTGATCTATCTCACACTAACTGGCTTCAATTTAGCTTCTCCATTTTCAGATACACGCAGAAAATATTACAAAGTCAAATGCACAGTCAAAAATTAAATTTTAAGTCCGATTTTGTATTTGATTTGGTATTATAAAGGGTAATATAGGGTCATCTTATAAATCTAATAAAACATTGATCAAATTGTTGAAAGATAAGATAGCTAAAATATTAAAAAGTTTTAATAATATTTAAATACTGGACTTGATCTAAATATAACATAAACATGTATTTTTGCTAGCTAAACATATTTTATTGGATGATAACTCATAATATCTATTTGAATAATTAACACTTAGCATCTTTTCTTTGTGTGTAACTACGAGTATACAAAAAAGGCGAGCTTACCCAACAAAAACTGTTCAATTTCGGCCCGTTTAGTAGTTGCCTTTGTATCCATGTCTTTAAATTGTATTATTCTTGATGTTTTGTATTTTTTAACTTGGCGCTCAGTGTTAATGCGAACCGTTTTGCGTTAATGTGCGTTGAGTGCTTGTTGTGCTGCCGATCGTTTGATTTCTCGCCCGGGCTTTATTGTGGCTTCTCTCCGATCTGGATTTGAATAGTCATCTGTATCTGGCATATCCACCAACTGCACACACAGTGTTTTGCCTTAGAAATTAACAGCTTGCTGTCAAAAGGGGATAACACATTTTTATAAGATCACATGCACAAAACAGATAGCGATGCCGTTGTACCGATGGGATGCAAGATATTCGATTGGATTGGGATTGGGGAGTCGAACGCGGAAAACGACCGGAGTGCTACTGAAGGTGTTCCTGGATTATCGGCTACCCGTCGTCGTAAAGCAAACACCTCCCCCGCTGCGAACCTGCTGTGGAGCTGTCCTATTAATAGACACACCATCGAGATGCACCACTATCCAGAGCTATAGCCATCCTATGCCATCCTATTCAGATATCCGTACGCGTCGAAATACAATACAATCTCTATTGCGCCTGCAGTTCTCGGTCTATTCGTTTTATTTTTACTATTGTGTCTACTATTTTCGCTTTTTTCGGTTGCACGCTTCGTTTGGCGCCTCATGGAAAATCAACTGATGACGTTATGTACTGTATCTGGGTATCTGGCGGCTAAAGTATCTAGATTCGTTGGTGGGGAAACTGTTGCCCGCTGAGTGTGTGTGTGTGCCAGCCATTAAAAGCCATTACGAAATCCCCCCTTTGAAGCCGCCCAACGCCCCTCTGCACTTGTCTGGGTGTCTCCGTTTTATGGTTTTTTTTTGTTTAATTTTCATTTTTCACTTTTCCGTCGAGTGTCTGTCATTTGCGGTTTCCACTGTTTTGCGGCCAAGAACTGAATACAAATACGGGGTGCCCACACGCAGAGGAGTTCGGACCCGGGACCCTTGTTTGGGGCCAAGCCTTTTAATTGTGACTCATCTGAAAGGCGACGCGTGTCGCCACAAAGAAGCGACAGTCTGTCCACAAAATTGCAAATACCATCGAACTTCTGTTGCCGAAAAATGCAAATGCTACACAGAAAGATACAATCTTTTAAGAGCTAACGGGTATTGGAAATGAGCTTATGAAAATATGGCCAATAAAACGTGTCCATATATCCAATTCATAGAATTGCAAGTGATAAACATTTTCTAAACCATATAAAGATAAAATGAATCTATTTAGATATATGTACGTTTAAATAAATTTTTATTATATTTATTCCTATTGATTGCCTTTTTTATTATAGCTCAGAAGACAGTGTTTCGACCCATAGAAGTTCCACTGTACAAGCAAACTGCTGACCATTTCTCTCTGAACCACACTATTCACCTGCTATAGGTACGTGTCTAGAGTCTGCTTTTACTTTTCGGTTCTTTTTTATTTATCATGCCCATAAAACAGAAATGTAATTTAATTTGCACTGGACGGCCGGCCGGACTATTTGATTTGCTTCCTTTGTGCCAGCCGTTAAAAATATGTATTTATTGATTCAGAACATTTGCAACTCGACACCGACGACACCTTTGTTTGCAATTGATAAACGTACGACGAATTCTCTGCCCGACGGCCAGTTTTGTTTCGCAGAAAAGCCAAACAAACTGTTTGCCAGCTGGTCTTGGACTCGCGCGAGACTTTTCCGGCCACGCAGACTTGGTGGAAACCTGTGCGCAGGCGTGTCTGACACCCCGCTACTTTCCCCGCGCTCCTTCCGCACTTCCGGTCATTTCCGTCGGGCCGGCTTCCTGCCGCTTCGGAGCCCCCAATTAGAGAATTACGAAATGCATCCACGCACAGAGTTCGATTTTGCATCCGGTTTTCCACTGCGTTCTGACAACGTTGACACCTTTTCGCTCGCGGGCGAACTTTTCATCGCCGGTGGAGCCAGGCGAAGAGCAAGCGCGACTTTCCGGCTGGTGCGCCACCATGAATCACTCGAGCTTAACTGACTGTCTTGGGGCCTCGGCACCAGCTCTGGAGCTCTGGATGGTCGCCCGAGCGCAGACGAAGTGCCCTCGGCTCTGGCTATGCACAGCGGGAAAAATCGTTGAAAACTTGGGTATTGAATAATATTGAAAAATATTATATTAAACTTTCTTTTAATAATTTTTAAAAACGAAATATTTATAGATACAGTACTTTCTCTATAAGGTACTTCAAAGTGGATATGATTAGAGCACCCTTTTAATATAATCATATATAATATTCCAAATTTATCACCCATTTCTTTAGCGTGTATAGCGAAATGAGCTGGATTTTGCATTGCTTTTTGGGGAATATTAACTGCCGGCCGGCTTGCTGGAGTTAGAGGCCCACGCCCATTGCGCATCTTCCTTTCGCAGATCCCATCCTCGAGTACGCAGCCCAAAAATTCTATCGTTCTTTCCACATTTAGAGAGCCGATCCCGCCGCTGATATCATATTTTATAGAACATCATGCCCATTTTGGCAAAAGCAAAACAGGCTGACCAAGTACAGTTTAACTTCCCTAACTAGTACCATATCATGTGCCCTTGGATACAATATTTTGCATCGAGCTCATCGACTTACTACTTACAAAGGTCAACAGGTAAATAAGTTATAACCAGGGATCGTAAGCATCATATGCGTTATTCAAAAAAACCAACAACAGTCATGTTAAGTTATATTATATATTTTTAAGAAATAAGTTTAGTTTTATCAGGAATAATAATTACTTGTAAGCGAAAGAAAATATTGATTATTTTCGATACATGTTTATATACTTTATTCATTAACATTTTTAAAGATAACAAGATGTTGTCGAATGATTGGAAAATGTTCTGTTTATTACCTAAATATAAAAACCAATTCTAATCTAGTTAAAAGTATGAGTTCTAATTTCTAAACTACTTTCTGAACATGGTTCGATTTAAAGAGGCTGGACTGTAAAACCAGAAATCTTCTAATGTGGCAGGCAGATGTTGTTGCCGCAGCTGCCGAGAAATCCGAGTCTGCTTTGCGGAACGAGGAAAGCCGAAGTCGAAGCCAATCTGGGACTGGAGCCTTCTCTCGTGCGTGTGCTCTTTGTGCAATTGGCGGCAGATAAAGCGAGCTGTTGTTCGAGAGCCCGATCCGTTGCCCTTTTTGGGAGCAGCTTTGAAGGACGCGTTCATGGGACGCTATGGCAAACAACTCAATTTTAATTAAACGTTGCGCTCCGAGAAATAAATTAAGCATGCTGACCATGTTGGCTGCGCAATATCTCGACAACCTTGGGTCGCGTCTCGGGCAGCAGTGATAAGTGCATAGCCGTTGCGTGACTCGACCCAGAAGACCGGGCGACTGGATAACAGGTTCCCACCTGGGCTGGCTTTATCAACCGGCACAAAGAGCCTGATTCTAGTATTGTGCTAACGCTTAATTATGTGCCACAACAAGTATTTCCATTCAGCCGAACCACAATCTTTGTGCTTAATGCATTGTCGAAGCGATTTTCATCGCTACTTGAGGAAGGCTTGCAGGCGGTTCTGCTGCGATTTGCTGGCGTCTTTAAACGCGTTCGATTTCAGCTGAGCGGCCAGTTGCAGCAGGGCGTTTTGCTTCTGGGTCTTGGACTGCGTTTTGGCAGCGGCGGGCGCCGGCTGAGCTGGCTTCTTCTTTTTCTTCTTCGCCGTCTGACTTGGGTTTTGGGAAGCCATTCCAACTGGTTGGGAAGCTTTTTTGGACGGCGCTGGCTGTTTGGGAGGCTGCTGTAGCGTTTTTTGCGGCTGTGGAATTTTTAGGCCTGCATTGATATCTTTATTCGGCGCTTGGGACTTCTTCCTTTTGGCCTTCTTTTTGTTCTTGCCCTCTGCCGCAGGTTGTGTTGTGGTTGCCATTGTCTCCTCCGTGGCTATGAGTTTGGCGCGCTTTCTGGTCTTCTCCAGCGGCAGCATTGTCTTGTGCCGGCAAACTTCGCAGTCCACGGCCTGTAAAAAGACATTTGGTTGTAGTAAGACTTTCAGGAATAGGATGTCTATAGATTTAAGCAGTAAAGATTTAGGGACCTTATTGTTTTAAAGGGTTCAATATTGAAACAATAACTTATTTTGAATACTAACTAAGTAGATAGAAGATATTTAGGTAATGTGTTGAATGAACCTTGGTAGCATCAACTTTAAGGTACTGCTATGACTCAGTTAATACATCTTAATTATTCGAATATTTTAAATAGTCTTTTTGAAGGTAACATCCATCTATTTTAATTAAGAAAGTGTTTAAGGTCTCTTTTGAGTGTGATTACTTATAGATTAAAAACTAATTTAAGCTGGCTAAGCCTGATACTCCTCCTCATTGACGTTAGCTCCTGGCACTTACCATTTGGCTGGCCATGCGCTTCTTCAGCCACTTGGCCCGTTTCCTGGCTCCACTGCTCATCTCACCCTTTGTTGGTTTGGCCTTGACGGCTTCCAGCTGGGCGATGAGTCTCCGGTTCCTGGCACTCTGCCTCAGCCTTTGTGGCTCGAGGTGGAGTTGGTAGCGACCATCGGTCCACTGGTTGCCGCAGCGGGAGCACATGCGTGCAGGTCCGAAGCTGTCCTCGGGCAACTGGACATTGTGCCGGGCCAGCTTTCGGCAGGTGGTTCTGAATTGTTGCGGAATAAATAATTTAGTAGTGGGTGTTTCAGGAATTAACAGTGGAACTCACATGTAATACGACTTTAGCAGCCGTTCTGTGTGGGTTTGGTCGCTTAGTTTGGAAGCACAGTTCCACAGCAGATCCACCGTCTTTTGATCGCTCATGTTTAACTCTTAAGTATTATTATATATCTGCAAAATTAAAAATGTGTTTATAAATGTGGATATAAAATTTTAATTGTAACCTACTTTCTCTTAGCTAATAATTTTATATTGAAATTCAAGAAACTTTTTGAAAATAAGATAGATAGATGTACAAGATACATTTATTTTGGTACTACAGGAGTTTATATATTTATATTGTTTTGTGTATATAAGTTATAAAATTTTTTTCCATTATACATGTGTTTGAAATCGAATTGAAATAAATGAGACTCTTGAATTCCACATGTTTTATAATTTACATCTTTGAGTTCAACACCCTTTCCGCTAGCTTCAAGCCAAAACAGACAGCACTGATGGCGCAACGTGCGTCGCTAAACAACAGAAAACTCACGGATCTCAAGCTTAAAACACACATTCATAACTTACCAACAGATCCTTGACATCTTTACGGAATTATCCCTTGCAAAAAACGTTTAGAATTTAATAAAATAAAATAACATTAAAAACAAATTTTTTAGCACGCCATAAGAAAGTTACAACAGCTGTTTTTCGACGCGCAGCGATAGACCGGTAAAATTACCGATTGTCCAACCGTCTTAAAATAAATCGACGAGACGGTGCTGCCAGCCTGCTGAAAATGGAGAGTGTGGCAGCCCAATGGCAAACTCACCACTCGCAATTTCTCACCAAATGTGGTATTTCGCCGTGGTCAGTTGAGGGTCCTACGGCATTTGCGCGTCGTTTTGAAATTATTCAACACATCTGAAAAACCAACCGCCGAAAAGAGCAGAAGCGACGCGCATAATTTCGAATACAAACGGACGCGCAACACGCAAGTAGTAAAGTAAATAGCAAACAACCGTCGGAAATCGGCAGCGTGGAGTGCGGCGAGCAGTACAGTAAATTCAGTATTCCAGTGCGCGCAATTACAATTCGCATTTGCATTTGCAGCAGCTGCAGCAACAACAACAATGGATCCGTTTACTCAGGTACGAGGGAATTTCACACTCATTGCACACAATGAACCCCTTTGTTCTGGGATGCGTGCACTGGTATTGGTAGTTGCATCCACAACTTTTCATTGCTATTTTCCATTTTCCCTTCGGAATGCAGCACATGCTTGAGAAGGCGGAACAGCGCAGTCGCGCCCTCGGCATCAGCAATGCCAGCAAGTTTCCCCTCGCCGAGTGCAGCGTTCCCAGCTCCACCACCACCTCCTCCTCTTCTGGCGGGGATGCTGGAGTCCTGGCCCCGAGGAGCCGCTCGCCAGGAGTCCAGAGCACGGCAAGCGGCGGCGGCAAGGTCGTGGTGCTGGGCAAGGCCACGCTGGAGGCGTCGCCGGCTAAGCCGCTGCGGCACTACACGGCGGTCAACAAGGAGAACCTGGACATGGGCATAGAGATAAACATAACCACTGACAAGCCAATTGGGGTAAGTTCCCGCCATTCCATAGTTTTCATCTCCTTTGCTCATCTGTGCTGGTCTCCTCCAGGTGCAAGTTGAGATCCAGGAGCAGGAGGTGACCGACTCCGAGGAGGAGGAGGAGGCTGGAGCACGCAATCCACTGCTGGAGGCAGAGCCAGTAAATCAGCCGCTGGCCAGGCTTAGGGACACCTCCCGCAGCAGGCTTCAGCGCATGGGCGCCCTGTACTCCAACACGGACGACCTATCCTCGCCCATTCACCGGACCGAGGCCCAGTTCCATGTGACAACGGGTGAGGAAGAGGAGAGCGGGAATCGCAGCAGCAGGCAGCCTAAGCAGCGATTGGGCAAACTGGCCGCTTTGGCGGACACCATCAACCAGTGGGAAGATGACACGTCGCACCACGAAGTGCACAGACCTCTTGAAGCTCCGCCACCAAAACCCCATTTGTCCAGCCGGCGGCCGGAGAAGCCACCGGCTCCACAGCCACCCAAGAGAGACGAAGTCGACGAGGCCGCCAGGACCAAGCAGCTTAAGTGGGATCCCAAGGTACTGAGCTCGCTGGAGGCCCAAGGTTTTCAGCGCCGCGAATCGTCGACCATTAAACACACCTATGATTATGCCAAACAGGGAGAGGCAGCGCCAGTTAGCAAGCAGGAAGAGACGGCACCAGCTGCCAAGCCGCCAGTGCCGGAGAAATCGACGACGGTCAGCCAGGTGGCCAAGAACTTTGCCACTTCTGCTCAGGCACCTAAGCCATCAGCCCCAGCGCCTGCAGTAAGTGTTAAGTCCGGCTTAGTTTCCGGACGTGCCGCCATCTTCGAGAACAAAGGAGCCGGTGGCCAGACGCAGGGAAATCTACGCAACCAGAAGGATCCTTGCGAGCTGTCGCTAAAGGAGCGAATGAAACTCTTCGAGTCGGGCAACAACAAGGCCATGTTGCCCATGGCACCGATAGGTTCTGCTCCCAGTATAAGCCAAATCCGGGCGGAGGAGGTAAAACGTGAGTTCAACAGCCCTTAAGTATACTATCATAGATTTGATACTAATTTTCTCTAATTAACAGAGCATTTGTTGGCAGTGCATCCGGTGACGGCAGCAGCTGCTACTACTGTAGTTGCAACGACCAAGCCAAAGCCGGAGAACAAGCTGCGAGACAAGGTGGCCGCGTTGGTCGCGAATGCCCAATCAAGTGCGGAAACCCGCATCAAGGACATTGACCGTCAACGGCAGGAGGACATGCAGATTATATCCAATCGCTTTAACAAACAAAAGGAGCTCTTTGACATTCAACCAGCGGTCACTTCCGCGCCTGCTCCAACTCGACCTCCTGCGCCTGATCCACCTCGAGCTCCTGCGCCAGCTCCCAGCAAAGTAGTGCGGCCCATGCCGCCTCCTCCACCGCCGCCCATCGCTGGTCTCTCACCCGCATTGGCCAGCAGTAAGAGGCGATCACGTAAGAAATCACTAAAATACTGCATTCTAGGGGCTTGTAGCTGATATTTCCGCAATTTCAGCTGGTGATGCGCCCATCACTGATGAGGACTCGAAGCGGGCCCGCAAATCGCATTCCGATCGCCTGTATCCCGCCCTGTCCGACCTTGATTCCAGCGGTGACAACTGCTGTGCCACCGAAACAGCCTCCGCCACGGACGACAGCCACCAGCTGGATGATGACGAATCCGAAAGGTGCGCTGACAAATGCTACTCCTGCTTGCTTTTCCTGCTTTGCATCGAGTAGCACCCCAAGACTGATAGACCTAAGACGCATAGCTTTAAACCCCATCCCTTAGACAAGACCAACAATAAAATCGCTTTCTTAACTAACCGCTTATCTTTGATTCGTGCAGTTGCATGGATGAGTCGGAGGACCAGTCGCAGACTGAGGACAGCAGCGCCGGCATGTGCAACGGCAGCCTGGGCCGCGAGATAATGAGCGCAGTGCAGCGCAACGAGGCGGAGATGCAGCAGCAGCCAGGCAAGAAGGTGAGTACAGGTAGAAAACTGACAACCCAGCGGGCGGTCTCCATTAATCCCATTTTACACCTTTTCAGACTGTGCGCTATGCGGACCAGGACATGTACTACGACGATAGCTCTCTGAACTCGTCGCAGGTCTCTTCCGGAATGAATGACTATCTGGATGAGGCGCTGGCCGAAGACTACGGCAGCACTCAGGATGATCAGAGTGACAGCGGGGACGAGCACAATGCCAGTCGGCTGTCCTTGGGCGTTAGTAATCTCAAATACTAGTTTTCTATAATTATATTACCTAGTTTGAATTGTAATCTAATTGTAATTTTTCTTCTTCAACTACATTTGCAGAGCAAAGGAACCACGGCCTCGAACAGCTTTTCCTTCCGAAAGAATCCATCTACCACTTGCACGCCTATCGAAGAGCATCATGAAATGATGGACATGCAGACACCGATGCTTAGTGGTGCCCAGCCTGTCAAGTCTGAGTTGAGCGTGAACCAAGACAACGACAACCTGGTCACCTTGGTGCACACGGTCAGCTTCTATCGCCGCCAGCAGAGCGCCAATGTAAGTTATACATATCTATTGGGTCTAACAAAACTCTTACAAAATGTGTTTGCCTGTAGAGCTCCAATTCCACACCGGTGCGCAAGATATGTCGCGAGCAGCAGGTGATGCGATCAGCCCTAGCAGGCGATTGCCATGCCAAGCACAGACTGGAGTACGACTCTCCCCAGCAGGGACAGATCGCAGCAGCCACAGATGATCAAACCGATGAGGACGATGACGAGATGCAAAACACGCGGGAAATAAACGAGGCCTCGCAGGCACAGGACAAAATCAAGAAGCTTTTGAGCGAGGTGTGCAAGCAGCAACAGGTGATTGGACAGGCCAGCCAGGCCCTAAATCTGTGTGCGGCAACCGTAGAGTTTTCTGGCTCCACAGAGTCCGTGGAGGGAGAGCGATATCTCCTACTGGCCAGTGAGTATACAAAGTTGATAAATATTTTGTTTTTGAGTTGAGTTCACTTGCATTCCAAACTTAATTGGCTACACAAATCGAGTTTAAAGTTCCTTTATCAAATAAAGCTGACATATTATATCCTTGTTTTTGAGTTAAGTTCACTTGCATCCCAAGCTAAATTGGCTATACAAATCGAATTTAAAGTTCCTGTATTAAATTAAGCTGACGTATTATATTCTTGCAGCCCATCGTCGCCAGGCCTGTTTGGATGAGGTCCAGCGCTTGAGAGTCGAGAACAGCATCCGTCCCGTGGGTGCACCAAAAGAAAAGGGCCTTCTGACAGTCAAAGACATAACGATTCCCCTGCGCCAGGAGTACGTGCGTAAAATGGCCTCCAACAACATCAATGGCCATCATCTTGTGTGCCTACTGAAGTACAATGAGCATGTGTTGGCCACCAAGACCGTACCCACGATGCCTGGCCTGTTGTCGGTTAAGTTTCCCGATGTCCTGCAACTGAACAATGTCTATGCCGATTTTAGGGTAAGCTGTACATAACATCCTTTAATCTTTGCTCCTTCTAATTGCGTTAAATTGCCTGTAGATTACGCTGGAAATCTATGGCATGCTGGCACAGCGTGATCAGCTGCCCCACGAGCTGAAGTACCACATCAACTTGAACAAGAAGGGCGGCGTAAAGACGCCGAAAAAGAAGGGCGGCGAGAATCGTCTGGTGATGCCGCCAGTACAGAGTCCGGCGGGACCCCATGTGGTAAGGACGCCCCAGCTGGTGCAATACGGCTTTGCCATCTTTTCGTTGCGTGAAATTCAGCGCACCACGTGGACGCTGACCCAGGTCCTGGGCGTGAGCCCACTGGAAGGCATGGTCCACATGAAGGTCAACTGTGAATTATCCGTGAGCGTGGAGTACAAGGGATTCCTCACCATGTTCGAGGACATCTCCGGCTTTGGTGCTTGGCATCGGCGGTGGTGCTATCTCAACGGCTCCGTGATCAATTTCTGGAAATATCCGGACGATGAGAAACGCAAGACGCCCATGGGCAGTATCGATCTGAGTGCCTGCAGTTCCCAAAAGGTGACCACAGCACCGCGCGACATCTGCGCCCGCCTCAACACCATGCTGCTGGAGTGCGAACGACCGGCGCTGGAGACGGACCAAGAGTCGCTGATAATAGTGCCCAATGGAGCAA